GAAAGTTTGAACAAAATCAGACAGAAAACGAAAAAGTTCATGAATCTTTAAAAAACTGTAATTACTATACGTGTAAGGCACTTCAAATTGGCCGCATCGGCAGTGTCACTATGACAAAGTGCCGGACAACTTTCCCGATTGTTCCAACACATAAAACGACTAAAATGTCGATTTTGTCATAATAATAATAATAGTTCAGTTCTTGTATAGCGCATAATACGTTATTATGAAATAACATCTCTATGCGCTTCCAAAGAGCTTCTAATTCATTAACCTAGCTTTAGCTCCGGTAGCCTTACCAGCGCACTTCAAGGAATAATCCCACCAGGTACCCGTTTACCTGGTACCCATTTACCTCACCTGGGTTGAGAATGGCAAATGTAGATCAATGTATAACATATATTTTGAGACGTGCCCCAAAGGAAGAGCCGCTTAGGAGAAAAACTTAAATTTATGATATTTATGTATACACATAACGGGAGAAATATCTGTAAGTACGTCACAGCCTAGTGACCAATTTGCAAATTTGCAATCCGCAATCGCAAAATAGTACTGCAACATTATACTTGAGTATTATCATAGACCATTACCATATCATTTGTTGCATCACACCAAAGCGACTTAGTTTAAATTCCAGTGAAGCGAAATAAGTCTGACATTTGATTTGCTTTCGCTTTGAACGGAGCTAGATACGTTTGTTCAAACACTCCTGTGTTTGATATGATTCGCATCCTTCTTTAATAAATAACTGTGCAGAAATCGTTTCGGTTCCTTTGTTTATTCATTTCATATTTCATCGTTGTCGAAGTGCACTTGCGAGTAATGTACGGGGAAAACCTCCAAAGTAATGTAAACGATCGATTACATGCAAACGAAGTATATCAACAAATTCATAGAAGGATTAGGACGAACGAATACAGTCTGGCGTTCTAATTACAGATGCACTATAAAACGGGCTTATGTTCTTTACTTCTTAGCCTCTCTCAAAAGATTATTCAAGTATAGAAACGCAAAGGCCTACAACACACTTCCTCCCAGGGGCGGATCCACGTAGCGATTTTTCCGGCCCGCCCCCCCCCAGCCCCCCAAAACGATTAAAAATAGGATAATAACCTAAAGTTAACCTTTTTTTTAAAACAAAAAACAAAAGCCCCCCCCCCCCAATTTATTCGCCGGTCGGCTGAGTCGACGCTAAATTTTGTATTAAGATTTGGCTCCTCCCCCTGTCGCCGGCTGGATCCTCTGCAGGCGCGGATCCGCGGGGGGGGGGGGGGGGGCTGACGGGTCAACAAAAGCAAAACATTTTTTTTTTTTAATTATCAAAAAAAAAAATTGGACAAAAAAGTGCCTCCTACCCCCCCCCCCCCGCTTATTCACCGGTGGTTGAGTCGCAACTAATATTTTCTCACGGATTGGGCCCCCCTCTTCCCGCCGGCTGGATCCGCCACTGCTTCCTCCTCATATCAAATCGTCCCCTAGTGTTAATACATTCAAATCTAAGATTGCAGAACTGTTACAGTACATGGTCCCCCCCCCCCTCCTTATCTTGCTATAATTACTTGTTTTTTATGACATTTTTTTTATTCTCCTTTTTTTTTCTTCAAAGTTCATTTACTGTTGTTCAGATATGTATTTATGTTCTGTTTTGTTTATGTAATTGTTCCAGACCCCACGGAAGACCAGCTTTCCCATGTCGGGTAAGCTGAGTGTGGGCAATCCACCGTATCTCATGCATTGTTATTATATTTTTATACAGAAATAAATACTTAATTACTACTCTCTTTCCATTTTGTGTCGGTCTGATGGTCGTATCGTCTGTGCGGCCGGGGTATACAGAAGTATCATGCTATGTTTTTTTTTTATGTAACACTGAAATGTGAAACAACATGATTGTAAGTGTAACAAATATGATAATTCATTTATTTGTCTGCACAAAATGTAGCGCATATTTTGTAAATCATTGTGTTTTCTGACCAATAAAACTTATCAAGATAAAATTAAAAAAACTTAGAACACCTTAAAAAATAAAGCCGGCTTATGATTATTATCTTACATAATGGACTTATCATTGGTAGGTCTATATCCCGCATCACTGGTCTGAACTGTGTACCCCGGCCCCCCCCCCCCCCGACCCCCTTATCAGACCACGAAAGAAAATTGCCCACTGGCAAAGATAGTTATCTTTTTAAAAAGTTGCTTCTGCATTTCGTGATTCAAATATATTGTATGTCGCATTAAAATTAAGAATCATGTAATTTGTATTGACAAAAAAAAAAATCACGATTGTGTATAAAGATTTATTCCCCCCCCCCCCCCCATAATTATGATATCGCCTAGTGACTGATTTGGCTGCCGATCGGTGAATTTTTTTTTCCGACCATAAATTACACACAAATAATCTTTTTATTGACGATGCCACTGTTTGCTCAAACTCCACCTTCACGATTTACGCACATTTCTTTTTAGTTTCCCGTATTTACCAACGATTCCCCGTCTTTTTAAGTTTGAATTAGAGCCGTACTTGTATCAAATTCTTAATTATCTTACTCCTACTTTGATTTCCCACGAGATAACGTGTCAATTTTACTGCCCTAGTTTTATCAGTTTTTTAAATTTATTTTCCTACCTATCTCTGCACATTTTCGCATACATTACAAACAAAACGTAACCTACTTTTAGTTTCCCAAGAGATAAAGTATAAATATTGCTGCCCCAATTAAAAACAAAAGAAGATGTTGTGTGTTCTTATATCACTTGTCCACGTCAAATAACTCCTGTACTTTTCTTCAAGGTTGTCACTTAATTCAGGCAATAATCTCTGCTCATGATCTTCTTGCGCTCTTCATTTCAATACTCCTCCTTTACATCTCTGATGGAAGTGTCTTCCCTATTCTTTTTTATCATCACATTATACCCTCCTCTCATGGATTGCCTTCCCTTTTCCTCTTTTATTTATTGTTTCCATAGACAGATCGAGAAGTGGGCCAGAGGGACCCCCTCCTCATCTTTGAGACCGAAAATCATATCGCTCACAATGAACAAAAAAATTGCCTCTACAACCCCTCCCCCTCTCGGTGAATGATTCTGGTAGACACTAGATTGGTAGAACGTAATGAAGAAATGTTGGCCTAAATCATAAACTCCTTACTGATGAACAGTGTGTAAAGACACATTTCGTACACGATGTTGTTATCGTTAAATAAAATAAATCAATGAAATTATTATCAATCAAAAAGCTCTGCATCTCGTTTGTTATCATCAAGCCCCCCCCCCCTTTCTCTCTCTCTCTCTCTCTCTCTCTCTCTCTCTCTCTCTCCCTCTCTCTCTCTCTCTCTCCCCCTCTCTCTCTCCCCTCTCTCTCTCTCTCTCTCTCCCCTCTCTCTCTCTCTCTCTCTCTCTCTCCCCTCCCTCTCCTTTTCTCTCTCTATCTCTCTCTCTCTCTCTCTCTCTCTCCAACCATCTCTACACCCCGCCTCCTCCTCTCTCCTATCTCACTCGTTACATATAAAAATACTCTATTTATATCCCTATCCCCCCCCCCCACACACACACACTCCCTATCATATTATTATCGATGTATCTATTTTGGATTCAATCTGATCATGGCAAGGAGGTGCGCTGGAGATCCAAATAAGAAATGCAATGAATAGGGACACCTTTCTCAGAGATTAAAGATACCCTTTGTGATATGAATTTCACCATGGCAACGCCGCTAAGGCTGTTATACTGCGTTTTTACTGCTGTCTATTTTGACCTCGACTATCATGGGGTACGGGTGATTTTTGACAGAAAACGGGATCAGCGAATATAAAAGAACGCCATAACGTAATGGCGATACGAGGACACTAACTGATAGCAAAAAAAAAAATATGGACGACATAGCTTGCCTCTTCCTCGATATACATTCACTTTGAGAAGACCACATTTCTATCCTAATCAAACATTTCAACAAAACATAGGCTTGGTGGCTTTAGCAGGTAGGTAGCTATGTGTGTCTATGTAAGAGAGAGAGAGAGACGGGGGGGGGGGGGAGAGAAAGACAGAAAGAGAGACGAATAGATCATGATATCGAGAATATTGAAATTGGGCCTATAGAAAATAGAGTACACAATCAGCCCCCATGCCATGGAATACAAATAATATACCACGCCATGACGATGTTAGTCTTTTGCGAGGAAAGAGGTGAATATCAAAACTAAATCAACTGATAGCTATCTTTTAATAACCATTGCCACACTTTATCTCTCTCCTTTATCTCAATATTTACTCCTATGCCAGTTTCTTTAACAAGTTCAAGTCATTTTGTTCACCTTCCTCGAATCACAGATTTCTCTCTTCGCACACTTTCATCTCTGTGATCCGCCCTTCTTCTTTCAACGTCTCCCACTTTTCTCTATTTTGTTCTATAATTTTCCTTTCCTTGTATATATAACTCTCTCTCTCTCCCTCAGCTTTATATTTTTCCTCTACCTATTTCCGTTACTTTTCCTTTTCACAATCTTCAACTCCTATAGAATAATTCACACAATGCCACACACCATCTTTCACCCCCCCCCCCCCTCTCTCTCTGTTTGCCCCTTTCACGCTCTCTCCCCCTCTCTCTCGTGTCCATGGCTCTGTTTCTCTCCCTCTCTCCCCCAGTTTTTGCATTTCTCTATTACTTTACTCCCATGCATGACAATCTTTCAACTAACACATCAGACAAATCCACATTCACCATATTCCCCTCACTTTATCTCCTTTCACTAGTTCTAAGTGCCTCTAATCACTCACTCTCTCTCTCTCTCTCTCTCTCTCTCTCTCTCTCTCTCTCTTTAAAATCCTTCCCATTATTTATCATCCAGCTACACATGATCTGCTGAGAGCCAAAAGGGCATTAAATGAATGTAAAATACAATAAACTAAAGCCCTTCTTACCCTCAACAAACATCAATTAATCTTTCCTTCAAATCCTTTTCCATTTCCACTCAGAATACAGTACAGGTGCACCCCAAAGCCAATACAATAGACGTACATGAATATTTAATGGCATTAGAGGGCATACATTTTTTATAATAATCTACATTTCTATTCCTGAATACAACTTAAAAGGTACAAAGAAGGGGAAGTGGCATGAACAAGGATTGGCAATAAATCTTTAATCATAATCTATAAATTCAATCCTGGGTACCACTTAGCTTGCAACCGAAGTTGGATAAACACAAACGGAAATCATCGATGTCATTTTGAAATAGGTCAGAAATTCTTGTTTCTATTTATTGCACTTTAGTTTGTAAAACAGGCAAAAGAATGAATTAACATAAATGAAAAGTAGATTTTGTCAAAATGAGGGCCCAATTCTATGCATTGTCATCCTAAACATTATACTTGGCATAAATTTATGATGGTTTCATGTTCACTTCAACATGCAATATTAACTCATTCAAATCCAGCACATTTTTTCAGGTTACCACTCTATCGGTTAACAATTTTTGGTTGATAACAAACAAAAAATTTAAACCGTGCACGCAGACCTCCTAAGTGACAAACATACACATGACCTTTTATCTGGACAGGTTGTATTTCAAAGATTGAATATCATTTTTTGTTTTTCATGGTTCAAGTCAACGATATATCATAAGTAATGTGGAGGGGAGGGGGAGGGAGAGGGGAAGGGGAAGGGGAGGGGGAGGGGAGGGGAAGGGGATAAGGGAGGGCAAACATAAAGATGTAAAACATTTACAATTGCAGTTATAGAAAGTTAAATTCTTTCTTTTAATATCTTTAGAAACATGATTGATCTGTGATTCTCTGCTCTCATACTGATGATACTGACTTCTATGAAACTTAAGATGTTACAATTTAAAAAAAATAGTGATTGTCATTGTTGAAATGTGTTTTTCCTTGATATCTACTTGCTTTCAGACTAATTCAAATCAAACAGCTTTCATGAATTAGCTCCGAAACTATGAGAGGAAAAGATACCTCATGGATATCTGTCCAGCTGGAATTTTCTCCTTCCAACAACACCGTTCTCATTTCGGACTTCAAAATTCTAATCACTCTAAGATTCATAACATGAATTATTTCTTAGCTGTGATTGTAAATGGTAGGTTCAGTAATGATTTCACCATTACTTATTCATATATTGGCAAATAAGTCATGCAATATATGAATCTGTCACAGATGAAACTTGCAATTATCAATACTAGAGATTTGAAAACTCAAAAGGGAGGCCTCCTTGTGAAGTTTGAGGAGTTATATTCAATCATCACACAGCTACAATGTAGTCAAGACTTAATAGAAAAGTAAGGAAACCTACTTTGGTTTTGGCCTTTCTATACAGGTTATGACTCATCATGAAGTGAAAACAAAGCAGGGGTTCCTTCTATTAAGTTTCTACATATGTGGTACAATACACACGTTCCAAAAGGTCCCTACAATTTGATTGTATGTCCATGTCATAATGAAATTTCCATAAAGCACTAAGTGCAGAGCTTTCAACAAGTTCCCTTTTTTCAGTGCACTTCATACAACTTAGTTACAGTTTACAAACAAATCTATATTTTGATAACAAGTTCCCTTCATTGGCAGTATACTTCATACAGCATAAGTTACAACTTACAAACCAATCTATACATTGATAACATTTTAAATGAATATAAGATAAAATACTGTTATAGGACATTGATTGCTCTCAGCAAGGAATTTTTTAATCAAGGTTCATACATTCTTTTGGTATTATCTCTCTTTTTATATGTATTTTATTTATATATGTCTCTTTCCTGTACACACCTCTATACAAGTCTATGCACATACCCTAACATGTACAATGAAGAAAAATGATTGAAAAGAAAGGAAATAATTAGATTTGTGCTGATCCTTCAGAACAAATCTATTATTCAGCAAGATCAAAATAAAGGGAATGCATAAAGAAATAACAATTGTCTCGCCTAATGATCTAATTTACTCTCTACAAAAACAAAATACCAAAGGAAATTTACCAAATCTTGAAATACAGATTTTTCAATTTCTCCATTATGACAAATAAAGTTAAATTATAAAATCTGTGATTGTAAATACCAGCTAGGGAAGAGTTTCAAACAAGATTTATCAATACTCCTCATGATTTAGGAAGGTAAGAATGTTTGCATTCATATACGTGTACACACAAATAAACGTCTTTTCAAGGAAAAGGGGTAAAACTTTATTTCTTAAACCAATACTTGACAGCTGCTAGAGCAGTATCCAGCGTCCCCAGTGCTGGATGAGTCGTGCGTTGCCGTAGCAACAGTGATGCTGCCTCGGGCTCATGGCCCGCATCCTTCAGTTGCCGGGCAATTTCTGTGACCTCTGACCTTTGACATGAAGTGAGGAGGAAGTCGGCCAGCGGTGGATAGTAAGGCGTTTCGGCGACTTGGCGAGCGAAGGATCGGGTGATGAAGAGTTGAAGGAGCTCTTCATCAAAAGAATCCTCAGAAAACTGGTAAATACAATCAGAAAATGACTCAATTTTTAATTTTTTGGACACTCTATAAAGAGGTTCACTCTAAACTATCTACATTTTAATGAAATAAGTTGTCTGGTATTGATCTTTATCATTAAATTTTCACTGTATACATTTCTGTAGTTTCTACCAATATGTTAACTGTTACTCAAATATAAACTTGATTCTAAAAATACAATTACAAAATATTACATTCTCTCTTTGTAATGAAGAACAAAATAAAGAAGCATTCAATAGGTAATTCTAAAAAGGGCACGACATTTAGAATGGAAATAGATTTGTCTGGAAACAAAGAAACACCTGATTACACATGTACTTTATAGCTTTCAATGACATTGGGAAGAAATTGATTACAGTTTTTTTTTTTACCACTTAGACAAACCAATAAAGACATTAAAACATTATAATATCATCTCTATAACAGTATAATATTCTCTTTATAACAGTATAATGTTCTCTTTATAACAGTATAATGTTCTCTTTATAACAGTATAATGTTCTCTTTATAACAGTATAATATTCTCTTTATAACAGTATAATATTCTCTTTATAACAGTATAATATTCTCTTTATAACAGTATAATATTCTCTTTATAACAGTATAATATTCTCTTTATAACAGTATAATATTCTCTTTATAACAGTATAATATTCTCTTTATAACAGTATAATATTCTCTTTATAACAGTATAATATTCTCTTTATAACAGTATAATATCATCTCTATAACAGTATAATATTCTCTTTATAACAGTATAATGTTCTCTTTATAACAGTATAATATTCTCTTTATAACAGTATAATATTCTCTTTATAACAGTATAATGTTCTCTTTATAACAGTATAATATTCTCTTTATAACAGTATAATATTCTCTTTATAACAGTATAATATTCTCTTTATAACAGTATAATGTTCTCTTTATAACAGTATAATATTCTCTTTATAACAGTATAATATTCTCTTTATAACAGTATCATATTCTCTTTATAACAGTATAATATTTTCTTTATATTATCTTTATAAGAGTATGATATTATCTTTATAAGAGTATGATATTATCTTTATAACAGTATGATATTATCTTTATAACAGTATGATATTATCTTTAAAACCAATCTCTAACACTACAATACTACAATTAGTAGCATGATAGTTTTAGAAATATGTCTATAATTCTTTTAGTCACAATGCTGAATATAATGCTTACTTGTGCTGGTACTTGCATGTAGTCAAGGATAGCTTTGTAGAGATCACTCTGCTTGGTGATGAGTACTACCTTGATAGAGGCTAGATGGTGGCCGGTCACCACAAGGTTCTTGTAGACTGCACTGATGCACTGGAAAACAACATGTAAAGATAAGAACATATATTACATGTAATCACATGAAAGAAAACTTAAAGCCACACTGCACTACTTGTAGCTACTTGCTCCCTCTATGTAGAAAACAATGCCTAATCAGTGACCATTGGTCCCCCATGATCCTCTTTTTCTTATGTTAATTGAGAGCTGAGTTGATGAGATAACCACCTGTCCAGTGACCTTGCAGGGTGGTCTAATCCCTCCTATAAATTAGTACAGATGGGCTTTAAATAAGAACTTGCAGTGGTCGATGAAAGAAAAACAGGGAGGGGATCATTTTGCCTACAGATGACTAAATTGATACAGCGTACAAAATGGCAAGTCTCCACTAGATTTGTTTAGATAGCACTGGAAGACAATAAAGGATAACAAATTAAATGAGAGGGTAATCATATCTGAACAAACAAAGATGAACTAAATATAACGAGGGAGGGGATCATTTTGTAGGGGAAAATGATGACACTAGATTCTGGTAGATAGGGAGAGGGAAGCAGATAAAGAAGGATATGTACAGAGATGAAAAGGGAGAGTGGGGGAGAGAGAAGACACAGTGTGTAAGAGGGACATTGAGAAGGGACAGGATGACTGTAGAGAGGGAGACACAGAGAGAGAGAGAGAGAGAGAGGCAGATAGAGACAGACATACAGACAGAGAGAGGGAGAGATAGACAGACACAGAGAGACAGACAGACAGAGTCACACACAAATATATATATATACATATATATATATAGAGAGAGAGAGAGAGAGAGAGAGACAGACAAACAGACAGAAAGAGAGAGAGTGTGTGACAGACACAGAGATAGAGTGAGAGGGAGAGAGAGATAAAGAGAGAGAGACAGGCAGACAGATAGATAGATAGAGAGAAACACACACACACACACAAATAGAGAGAGAGAGAGACATACAGAGAGATAGACAGAGAGAGAGAGGGGGAGAGAAAGAGAGACAGACACAAAGAGATAGAGAGACATAGTGAGTGGCTGAGGTATAGAGAGGGTGAGAGAGAGAGAGAGAGAGAGAGACAGACAGAGACAGACAGAGACAGACAGACACAGAGAGATAGATATCTAGAGAGACAGAGGGGAGGAAGAGAGAGTTAGGGGGAGTCATCAAGATGGTGGAAGGGTGCGTAATAGGCGGGAGATGATAAGAAACAGAATGAAGTGTAACGTAAATAGTAGACTGGAGATAAAGAGAAATGACAAGGATAAAAATAGCAAGGAAAAATAATGAAAAAGAAAGAATAGAAGAGTCATAGAGTCAAGGAGAAGAAAACAGAGAAGGGAAAAAGATGGGACAATATTGATACTATACGGAAAAGAATCATTGCAAAAATGTATGAAATCCTGTAAACAATATCGTCATGAAATAACAAGTAAAACTTAATTTCTATATACGGATGAAATGGAGAAGAAAAAAAGAGGGAAAAATTAAACAGAGTAGAGAACAGGAAATGAAAGAATTGACATTCGGTTGTGAAACAATAATCATAAAAAGTAAAATGCAAACATCTCTAAATGTAAGAGAATGTCCGCTACAGGAAGTCTTCACATTTTTAGAGTGCACCCATATGGACTGGCGGCAGAGTAAACATTAGAGATGAGTGGTATGCACAAGCACCGTTGAGATCTACTTGATGACAAGGCAAACAAGCTTTGACCTCAGTGCTTTGGTAGAGTCAATAGCTTACATAAATTGAAAGTACAATCTTTTTTATAGTGATATAAGCCTGAGAAATGTAGTGTGAGTTTAAAGATTTTAAGATGTTGTATTATACAATGAAAGTGAATGTTCAGTAAAATAATTGGAAATGTCCCGTTTGTTTGTCGTAAAGATAAACTTGATCATTCTTATTTGCTAGTATATACATGAGTACATGGAAGCCTATAATAAGAACACATACATGATAGCCCTTTATCTAATTCTATACAGTTAACAACTAAGTTATTGATACCCACTGTAAATTTGATGTTTTCAGAAATTTCATAAATTAAGAAAGCAACTTTTGCTGGTTGAATTAGGGCCTTTGTTGAATGCATATGGATGTAAGCTTTAATATGTCACAGTCTCACGAAAAAAGAAATCAGAACAAATTAATTCATTCACATACGTGAAAAACTGCAAAACATGGTAAGAGTATGAATAATTCAGTTGTTGACTGCAAATGCATGTACATGTAAATGTATGTCCAATAAAACTGCACAAATTTACAAGTAATCAGCACCATCATGAAAAGAAAAAAAAAGACTTCTTTTATTTCAACAAGTACCTACATAAAGATATCCTAATATGACATGTTCAAAACCACTTCAGAAAATTCTACCCTTGAGTCAATAAGCCCACTTTGACCTTTACACGTACAAGCATAATTTTTTTGTTTCTATAAAACCTTTATGGAATATCTAGAAAGGATAAATTTGACCAAAAGAACTATGCGACTGACAATGTTCTTCAACAAGTGCAAAGAGCCTTTTACATAGAACATGAATTGATCTTCACTGTTGCAGAGGGGAAAGGGTGTTTTGTATAATTTTAAAAGGATTGGGTATCTTTGTCTAGATTCTGAAACAAAATCCTGGATTTAGCTCATGCTGCAATGATAATTATAAACCTTTAGGTCAGTCAGGAACCCCATGACGTTTACAAGCCGATCGCCTGTCTAATTATCAAGATATTTATGATTGGAAATCGAAATTTCAAAAACCGTTAGCAAAACGTTTTTTTTAACACTAGTCTATGAGTATGAGAAAAGTAAAAAAAGTATGGGACAATGAGTATGGTAAAACCGGTCACTCAAAGATTTTTACTTTTTGAGGTACTTCATGATCTTCATGAGGGCTTCAATATTACACCATATCACAGACACTGATAATACGTAGGGCCATGCATCTCAGATTTAACATTGTTAAACGATGCCTTTCAGTCAATTTATGACATTTCCATTACATATGAAAATTCAATCAATCTTTTCCTTACCCGAGATGATAATGGATGTGTCTCTTGTTGTTCTCTCATGAGGTCAACGACCAATTGACCTTTGAACTCTGGATAACTTGTCATCTTGGAGATGACCTGCACCCATGGTTCTTCAGATGGTGAACTGTGCAGGAAATCAAAGAACACATCCCAATGTTATGACATTTACATGTATATGCATGGTTATAAATAATGTCCACAGTTTGTTGAAGTGTGAGAAAAACGTTAAAGGGATAGTCAAGTTCTTGTTTAAGACCGCAAATGCCTTCAAACTGCATGGTTACTGCTCTTATTCTTATTATTGACATTTCTAGCCCCATTTAGAACCTAAAATTGCTAAGAAGGTAATTTTAGACCCCAAAATGTGTGAATTTCGATTCAATACGATCATACCAATTCAGCTCCACTTTACAAAAATTATGGTGATTGTTAATTAATTAATAAATTAATAATAACAAATACACAGGATTTACGCAGGTTATGTGCGGGTTGTACGCAGGTTGTGCGTATTGTAACCATCACAAAAAAGCCAACAAAACGCCAATATTGGCATTGGCTGGAACAAACATATTTTCAACATTTTTAATGGCTGGTTCAAAAATTACAAAATATTTGTGGGGCACCACAAATTTTAGAAATGGTTACATTTATGGATATTTTAGCCATCTCTGAACCGATTTTGATCAAACAAATATGATTTTTGTCATTTAAGTTGTATATTCTTTCAAATTTGACACTCAGTCTTTCAAATTTGACACTCAGTTTTTCATTATCTCACAAAAAAATTATTTTGTGTAGCGCCCTCTGCAACAAAACTCAACTATCCCTTAATAAGAAAGCCACAAAACTTGACAGGCAAACTTACAAAAATCACACATACTCTCGAAATATTGGTGAAGAATTCTGTTTTGGGGTTGTACACATAACTCTCCTCGCTTCTGTGCGATCGCATGCAGAGCAGCATCAAATCCCCTTGTTCATACATAGCAAGGCAAAATTACCTTTGAAAAAAATTTCCTTGGGCAAAATGCAAGCTGTTTTAAGTGAGACTGGATAGAAAGTGCTAGTGAAAACTTAAATAGTTGCATGCAACAAAGACCTAAAGCATTCCTACTTCTCTGTTCGTCAAAAGATTTTTAAAATGTATAATGCATTACACTGAACCCAATATTGTATTTTGCAAAGTGTAAAGTGCATAGAGACGTTATGAGTATTCTCCTGAGAATACCAGGGTACAGCAATCAAAATCAGAGAAAAGGAAAACTCACACAAATCCTCTCCCAGGAATCAGGAATAAATAAAGCACTCTCACCCTTAAAGCAGATCATAAACACACTCAACTAATTCTCTTGAGATGAACCCCACTTTATAATGCACTCTAAGCCCTCCATAACACCATGCAGTATTGTAAGTAAAAGTACTACATACAGGATATTTGAACATGAGGTGATAAATTACAAAGTTAATCTCTTTTGAATTGTTGGATGTCAAGTACTTTGAGGTTTACTTCAAGTTTTATAGGTCCTAATTGCAGAAAGACATAGAACTTCAAAAGAAGCAAAAGAATGTTTCTATCCAACACAAACCCTTTCCTTAACATTTTTCAACATGCATTAGCAAATCTGTTAAAATGGATGTATGAACATATTCCCCAAAGAAGGACGTATTCATGTGTGGAACAGCACCTTTAATAGTTCTTGTTAAGTCTACTTAGTTATATGTTCATTTATTAGTCTTTTTTTGCCTTGGTAGCTTGGCCGGTGATTGGAACACTGTCTTCATCTAGAGCCCAGCACACAAAACATGTGAAAATGTAACACCAATATGTACATGACTCACCTAAAATTAGTCTCCAATACAGGCCATTGTTTAAGCAGACTAGTGAGAGCCACCAGCTGGTCCATAGAAGCACTACAGGAGAGGAGAGACTGGAAGAGGTTGAGACGACTGGCTTCGGAGACTACATCCTCTTCGGTTACCTGGGGATAGTAAATGGAAAATGTAACAAAAATTTCAATTGATGAGACAAAGGACATTTGAAAGTTGGACGAGACTTGTGAGTCTAATACAAATATCCTCTTTTGTCATCTTACTAACCCAAATATTGGCTGCTTATAAATCTACAGTAAATCTACATTCCATATATATGTATATTTCTAAAGAACTGTTATCAATTACACAATTCTTGTACAAAAAACAAAAAATTCCTGTTCGATGATTCGATGTATTTGATTTGCCGCCAGCATAAAACACTAACATGTACATGTATGTTTAAAATCCATTCATTGTATTGCATGAAGCATATGCAGATCATACAAATTGAAAGTGTACTAAAATATTTCTGTAGAATCTGATTTTATGTGCATTTCCCCTATTTTAGGGAGCTGAAACAAATCTACCTATTGCCATTTTTCTAAATTATGTCTTTGACCGTTGCCATGGTATAACATTATTTTCCTTTAAAGAATTAGACATGTATTTCTCATAAAACAACCAAAGAATATGATATAAGTAGCTAAATAAAATTCTTTTCAGCTACCCATTTGATTTTAATACAGATCTCAGTCTTCACAGGTCATACTTTATATTATCAAATAATTTTATTTACACATCATTCTAAAATATATGAATCGCAGCTTGTTTCTTTACCTTGATATCCGTCCAGGCACCGCTGACAATCGCTTGGGTTCTGTAGAACAAGAGTAACTGAGTGTCATCCTTACTCAAAGGGAAAGTCTGGAGGAAAGTCACAAATAACAACGACATAAGGTTTACAGAATTTTCTTTCATCATCATCATCAAGTGCCAGGTCTGTAATACAGACATCGGTGGTCATGGCCCTCCATTTCTGTCTATTATTTGCTATTCCTAAAAAGCTGGTATTGTTGATTTCATGTTTAGTTGCCCATTTGTTCAGGCTTTGCAAATATGTAAGGCGTTGCCTTCTTTACAGAAATTTAAACTAGATATATGAATTACACCTACAAGTGTTTATGTATGTCCATAATTTACATCAGCTTACATATTGCAACAAAGGGGTTGTGATTTTTCATTTCCTCTGGTATCCTTAAAATCTTGAAAATGACAGGAAATGGTCCACAAAATTACAACTCCAAGACAGATATACACTGTCACTCATTAAGGTTAGAAAAGAACACACCTACAAGGAGTTTGCTTCTTCTGTTTTCTCCTCCCCTCTCCCACTACCAAATGCTCTTCTCTTTCATATCTCAATTTCTCTGAGGATTCTTTCTTGTTCTTTTTTACTTTTTTTTTTTCTTCTCTCTTTAACAACAAGTCCTTTCATGAAACATACCTCCTCTAAAAGCTGCAGTATTTCAACTCTGGGTTCTACTGCCACCGACATGTCACTGCAGAAAGGCCGTAACTCATCCAATACATGATTTGCAGTTACTGTGTTGTTACCTCTGCATAACGTGATGGGTGAAAACAAAATGCAAATTTGATGTTAGAGTCAAAATCACATCAAAAGTGCTTCATGGAATTCAAACAAACTCCAAATCTTCTGCATTTCTTGAAACATAGACAGTTTTCAAAGAACAGAGAAAAAGATAATTATGGAAGTTAATTTATCTACCTTAGAGACGAAACTACATGTCAAAGATGAAGTTGAGTTCTGGTCATGTGATTGCATTGTGAAAGAAATGGTGTGGAATCGACCAGAAAAGGTTGATCATCTAGCATACGGTATAAGAATTTGTGTGTATTGCAAGGTTCTGGAGTCATCAAAATGATAAGAAATTTGGCAAAGTCTTGGTAAAGTTACAAACACTGTACACAGAAAGATGTATATGGGACTACACAAACACATGGCCTAAAAATCCTACCCTGGATTTTTACGATGTTACATGACATATTTAGAATATAATAGCATTCGAAGAGCCATTTTTTTCAGGGAACATGTCTTATCTGATGTTCTTCCACACTTGCATAATAAGAATGATAACGCCCACAAATTATTTTTCACCTCTTCCCAGAACTCAACCTTCTCTTTAAACTAATAGATAGCATAAGATGTAACAAAGTCCTTGATTCTATTGAGTGATCAACCACTGGAATCAACCATTTAATTGGCATAAAAAGACAAAAAGTCATGGCCTGCCAGTCGAAATAGACACAAACATTGAGTAAACTGTATGACTGTGGTTGTATGAACTAAAATGGACATACACATCAATCCACTAAGAAATTGGAAAGTACAGCAGTACCGTATTTGCCGGCGTAAAGGCCGCACCGCCGCATAGGCCGCACCCCCAACTTTGACATTTCGTAGAGAGAGAAACAAAACAAAACAAACAAAAAAAGGAAAAAAAAAAAAACGGACCAAAGAAAATAATCATAATTTTCTCGTAGAACTCTATTTTTCCTCCAAACTAATACCAAAATTATCAATCATTTTATAAATTTACAGGAAGTTTACCTAAAAAATGATCGTAATTTAGCAAATCTTCATCGATTTTTAGGCAGATTAGCACATTCATTGGACACTAGAGGGCGCTTCGCATGCATACAGAAACATGAATGGCCTGCCATAACCAAGCTGTGGCCATAATGTTATCCGGTCTTACCCCTATCATACCGCCAAATGGAGAAAATAAACAAGCTTTTGTATTGTTATTAGAGATCTACCGAGGTTAGTTTGTCGTTTTAATTAATTAGATAGTCTCAATTATAATTCAGAATTATCTGACGATTGCGCTGTGAATCTCCGAAGCTGCGTTGGATTTGTTGCAACTCCCAGCCCGGTAGCTCCCCACCACAGAGTGTGTGAGCGAGGTATGATTTTGGTTACCGGGCCATGCGCTGTCTAAGCCAAGGACATTTTTACAAGTACGAGTTTCTGGTCAGTTTTCTTCTTATTTCTTTGGTTGCACAACGATTAAAAAGATAACTTCTTCAAATTTGCTGCTGACGTGGTTCAGACTAGATCTTGTCCGATGTGTTTTCAAGTCAATTTTGTTAATATATTTTTTGTATGAAGTTGCCTACAAATAATGGACGTGCTGTTTTGACTTGCGATTTTTACTGTTTCGGCGTATACGCCGCACCCCGACTTTTTGATATTTTCTCTTCCAAAAATACTGCGGCCTTTACGCCGGCAAATACGGTACAGACATTAGGTAATTAGAAGAAAAACAGATGAAAACAGAATAACTACTCACCCTTCTTGTTTGTGTCTCTGGACCTCCAGTGTGATTTTCTTCAAGAAGTCCATGGGTCTCCCCTCAATGTCAATGTCTTCTACGCTATCTCCACTCCTAAAAAGATTTGATCAAGATATATCAAACAGTCAGAGCTATTCAACACAAAATCATCTGTTTAGAGCAAAAAGGGGCATAAACTCTATTAAAGTCCATAAGTAACAACAATTCAGGTTCTCTGGAAATAAATAAACTATTTAATCCGAATATCTTTAAACATAAGTGATATGAAGTTCAAGTATAATCATTTCTGAGAACTGGGGAAATATGAATACCTTTTTTTTAATAAAAAAGAAAGAGCGAAAGTAAATTTGTTAAAATCTTTAGATTTTCATGTGTAATACACTCACAAACGTATATAAAGATTGATCAAGGGAAACATGAAAAGTGGTCTTTATACATGTATACAGATGGTCTTTAAACTCTATGTTCAGGTCCCCTTTTATTCAGGCTTCATTGAGAAGCACATTGAGAACAACATTTAGTCTTTATACACTGGTCGTTGCTAAGATAAGATTGACTGAATAACTGACTGAAGTTGGCTATTATGAATGATTTCAGTACATTGTGAAACAAAAAGGCAAATCTAAGCTGATTACAACAATAATACTCACTTGATGGCTGCTAATATCCTTCTTATAGCGTCCCTTGTGACTGAGAGGGCAGTCCATCTAGTGATCGTAGATCCAGTCAGGGCCTGGTCTAGGAGCGAGACCGGAACTCCGCAGCAGAGCAGGGACGCAAAGACTGTCTTCATGACCTCTGTCTCACCTCTTGACAAGTCGTACTGCTCATAGAATTTTGTTGAATTGTCCTTTAATGATTTAAAAAAAAATTAATTAATAAACTGGTTTACTGAATGTTTTCAAAATTGATGCATGCTTCTTCAACAATAGCTGCTTTGGCATCCTAGAAGCTCCCAACAGGCTTTCAAAACATGTTAGAATCTATACAAGGATAAACTTAATGTAAGGCAAATAATAGAGTTGATCACTGAGGGTTATAAGAGCATATATCAATGAATTTTAAGTATTTATGTTAAATGTGATTGTAAAATGTATATCATGTGAACAACGTGGTAACAACAATATTATAATTTATTTTACAATGTAAGACATTACATTATCATCTGATTATCATCACATCAACAAGTTTAATGATCTAAAAAAAAAAAAAAAATGCAATTTATCATACAACCATGAGACAAACATGCCATCAAAAATATTAAGCTTATCTTTAAGGCACGATCTTCATAGCAAAAGGAAATATGATCCAATGTGTTACAAATCTGGGGAAAATAAATGATGCATTTATCTATCGTACCTGATCAAACTGCTCGATTTGGAGTACTCCCTCTGTGTTGAGAGTCTGTAGATGTTTTTGGTACTGCTGTAGTCCTTGAATGCATGATTTGACAATGTTTTCACTGCTCTCCCCTGCAAACTTCTGCTTGCCTGACCCCTGCTGTTTGGCAAACTTGATGGCACGACTAACCAAGTTCTGCCTGCTTTCCAGAGACAGCTGCAAACAAACAAACAAACAAAAATTGATTAAATGAATTCAACAATTTGTACAATATTATTATCAAGTCCCACAGATACGACTTAAAGCCACATGTTCCAAATAACTTTCATCTGTACAGGTGGTACCACAGAAGGATTGACAGAAGATACTGTTTCAGGTGGTAAATGCCAGACTAGCTGTCTGGCATTTAAGAAGCGGTGATCACCAATGCAGCTTCTGTCAATCATTTGAGAAAGATAAAACCAAACACATTGCAAGTGTCAGAGAAATGTAGCTTTTGTATGTGTTATAGAACAAATCTCTAAAAATTTAAACCATTTTGATGATTTGGTTCAGCATTTACTTCTAATTTAAGCACTCGGGTATAAAATACAAATTCAGACAAATTTACTTTCTCCAGTGACTTCTGAGTGAAGACGATCCTCTTGATGAAATCCAGGAAGTCTGAGATGGTTAGTCGACCAAAGAACTCTCCACATGCCTCATAGCGATGCTGCCATTCAGCCTACAGAGAAGTATATCAGAGTTACTGATTAATGATTATTGCAGCAGCAGCGAAATACATGCATTTTACATTTAGGCATAATTACATGCTGTATCCAGGTAGAAGATCTGATGAAGGATTTTTTTCTTACAAAATTAGATTCAATGGATCTGATGGAACTGTCAATATAATGAAAAGCAGTCTAGAGCAAAATGCCATGAAAGTAATATGAACTATTATGCTTATCATTACTTAGTCCTGGAGGATGAAACAGAGTTTCCCTTTTCACAGCCCTTTAGTACATAAGCCTTGGTGTATACCTGATGCAGAGCCTAGCAAACAAAATAGACATTTAATCTCCCCATTCATCATACTCAAACACTAGCTAAAAATATATATAATATAATAATACATACTTATAAAGTGCACTTATCTAAAAACTTACTAAAGGCGCTATACAAAACAAAATACACAAATCTTTCTCCAGCATATAACAACACAATAGCATAAGTAACTCTGAGTAAATAAAAGCTTTTTAACATGTTTCTGAAAGGTTTCTATTATTCGTTTTTGTAAGAAATGTGACAATCCGATAAAAAAAATTCTAAAAACTTACGGTGGTTTCCGGGGCTTTCTTGTGATTCTGATCACCGTCCCAGAACATTTTCACTGTGAACGCTAGGAACACTTGAGATGGAGTCAGATTCCCACCATTCTACAAACAAATGAACAAGAAAATGGTTCAAAACGAAACATTCAACCACTTGAAATGGAAGAGGATTAATCAAATAGTTAGAATCATATTTTAAATGGTGTAGTGCAGAGAAAACACATAGTATTCTTCACTCTAACGCTCTACATAAATAATTGAATCGTTCAATTGCAACAAAAATAAATAATAATAATAAATAAATGAACAAAGAGAGAGAAGGGTGGGAAGCACAGAGTAATGGAAAGGTCGTAAGGGACAAGCATCATAACAAGGTGTAACCATTACCTTTGTGGGTATTTTTGGAGCTAGTTTGGCAAGAACATGGACGTTAGACGAGATGAGTGAGGGTGAGATGACATTGATCGGGTCTGAGACTCCATCCATTAGTCTTCGGTAATCCAGACCTAAATAACATGACAAAGATACCAAGGAATTCAATAAAAATCAATAACCTACATTGATTACAGACATACCTGTATATGTTTAGAAACAAGCAATATTTTCACTAACTATTCTCTACATAAATTTCATAAGATGATATCCGTAAAGAAAATTAAGAACATTACTATGAAAACCAAAATCTAATTCTTAAAGTCATATATCTGGTCGGTTCATCTCTATGAGCTCGCATGATACATCTCAGTGTTCCCAATTCGTGTTTCACTGATGACAAATTCAAAAATTCATAACTTTTCTATTTTGAATTGGATATTGCTCAAAGTTAAGCTAACCCCCCCCCCCTCATTTTCTTGCTTTCACCAAAACCAACTTAATATCAGGATGGACTTTCCCTTTAAGAATTAATGACAGGTGTTTGTCTTACTTGAAGCAGCGGCCTTGATCTTCTTCAGCAGCTTGACATGCATGTCAGGGGTTATGACCTGACCTTTGACCTCTGCCCCGCTCTTGTGCAGCAGCGTGAAGTAGTAGATGAGACGCTGATGATCAGAGCCCTCTATGGTGGGATAGATGCAAGTCTCCATCCTCTCGCAGAAATTGTCCGGTCTCTCGAGAAGGGTGGCGACGAGATCAAGTTGGTGGCTTCGAGCCTCGATGGCAGCGGTTGAGAGACTGACAGAGAAAAATGAGCAGGTTTGATAAACATGATTGTAAATGAGTTGTAAAGGAGCACAATTATAGCCTAAATTACCATTCCCATCATTTTATTTGACCCTTGATTTGTCAATAACAGACATGAAAGGATAACTATTTGAACAATACTGTAAAGCTCAATATTTGGTTTGATGCCAAAGGGATCGAAATGAGATTTATATCATTTTTAATCATTAGAGAAGTATGTACAAATACGAGGGTAGAAGCTTAGACCCTAACTTGTAAATTCTGGTGGAAAGGATGAAAAAGAAACACACATGTAGGGATGATATTGGAGTATTATGGGTCCACAAAAAATACTCATGTGTTCAAGTTGACTGCTTCTAAACATTTGTCCGGAATGGAGATAAATGTAAATTTCACATCATGGGTTTTCTGCACGTTCTCTGCGTGTTTTCTGCGGGTTATTATACTTAAATATTTTGAAAATATTTGTAATTTCAATTTTAGTTTGTACCTTTGTAAGCTTTTACTTTGTGTACCTATCTAATTATTTAAACTTTTGATATACCTCCACTTCATTTCATTGTATCAATTTGTACACTTTTATTTCATGTTTTGTGGAAATAAATTTAATTCAATTCAACTTTAACAATTCGATTAAATATTTTGAACATTTGTTTCTCAAGATAAAATTGTTTTGTAAGTGGAACTAGGATTGCTTACTCACCCACTCTCCGAGAAGAGAAACTCTAGATGAGCCATAAGGACCTCCCACATCGATAGATGATAGCGCTGGGCCAGGGTGACGGACAGATTATACACATCATCCTCTAGACTCCTGTAGAACAGATGAAAATAAATAAACTACATTATTCGGTCAATCTCTTTTTCTTGTCTTCTAAATTCAATTTAATTCAATTCAACTTATTTATTTTTCCAACAAACCATTACAAGTCAATCATAAACATTTACACACTTATGTAGAAATACATATTGGAAACAGAGGGGTCCACTAAAAAGCAATGCTTGTACAAGTGTAAACAGCTACATGTAAATGCATGTATATATATATATACCTAGTAATTTTTGTTTATTTTGCAATTTAATTTGTGTTTACCTTTAATGGAGCCTCATGTACAAGCACAAGTTGCTTCTTAGAGGTCCTGGCCTATTATTTATTCTGTATTTATGATTTGTGATGTTTTTTATGATGCCAAATAAACTGAAATTTAATACAAATAAAAAGAATTCTCGAAACTTTTAGCTATCCTTACATTTCACAGACTTTAATCATATTACATTTTAAAAAAATTGTATTTTTTATAATCTTAAGAATTTGTGATGAAAGGCAAATTTATTAAAATCATTGATTTAAAGCAGCGTTTTTCTTGTCTTTTTAAAAACAATTACAATTTGAATAGACATGACTGAATCTGTACATTTAAATCAATCCTATCTGCACTGAAAAGGTTGAGAAAAGGACCAAAAGAACTTACATTGCCAAGCCCAGGATTGTCTCCTGCTTGTATTCATTGTCCTTGGTAAAGCGTACAACATCCACTCCTAGTAGAAACAAAATGAGAATACACAATGTATATACACATTGATAATATCCTACAAGAAATATATGTACATTCCGGGTTTACTTAAATTTCCCTATTATGTTCCATGGCTCTGTTCATGGGAAAAAGTGATGATTGCAGGCATATATGTGTAAAGCTATTGAAGGAACAAAGGGGAGTTGAAACATTGGGGTTTAACCAACTGGACAAGGATCTGTGAAAACACATGAAAGTATCCTAGAAGAGATACATGTACATTCAGGGTTTACCTGAAAGAAACAGCCCTATGTTCTATGACTCTGTTCATGTAAAAAAAAAAAGGGAAAAGTTGTGATTGCATGCACAGATGCCTACAGCTTTTGGAGAAATAAAGGCGTGTTGGTACATTCAAATTATCTGTGTTTATATTTCGCTTGATACATCAAAAATGTCTCTTAGTACTTAACAGATATATTATTACCCTGGTCATCAGATTCAGGCTTGCCCGCACACAATGTACACACATTCTCCACTCCCTTGGGAGCATTCCAGCCAGACGCCATTTTAAAGGCCGTCACAATGCTGAGCAAACTACATTAACCTTTGCTTCCTACCAGGTACCCATTTGACACCTGGGTGGAGAGTGGCAAATGTAGATTAACATCTTGCCAAAGGACATTAGTGCCGGGATAGGATTTGAACCCCATACCTTGTGATGTACAGTCAGGTGACTTATCCACTAGACCACAACACCTCTACATCTTCATTGGGATGTAACCAATTGGACAAGGTTCTGTGATAAATGCTACGACCCTGACCTCTTCCCAGGCCAGACCTGCCCCAAAAGGTACATTATTACCGCACTCAGTGGTCTAGACAGAAACAAAATCTTGTAAAGACATGTGGAATGAACTCTCACCTCTTCCAAGAGCTTGAAGGCTCTGCGCCTGCAGGAGATCAGCAAGAAGCTCATCGTAGTGTTTGAGCCTTCCTACAAAAGCAGAGACATCCCCAGACCACCCAGCGGCCTTCTTGCTACCGGCAAGCTTGAGAACCATCTCAATGAGTTGCGGAGGTGCGGTCTCGTAGATGGGGGGACCCTTCTGGGCCTTTTTGATGGGCTGGAGTCGCACCGTTGCTTGTAGGGCGAAGTAGTACGCGGCCAGCTGGAGAGAGAGGGCCGAGTGAGGGATCTTCTCGAAGCACTGGTCTGCATCAAGAGGCTACGAGACACAAAGGAATTCACTTAGTACCAAAACAAAATCTGTAATAGACAGTGACATTGAATAATCTTCACTTGGACACCGATTACCAAATACTTGAATGATTGCGTTTTAGTGTTATCTTTACATCAGCAGGGCCCCGTCTTATAAAGAGTTGATATTAATCGCAACTGATGGATTATCCAGTTTTCATACCATGTGTGATCTCTACTCAATACATTTTCTGTGTTATATAATGAACATGTGCCCTCAGTAGTGAGTACATATGTAAGCCTAAAAGGAAAATGCATTGCATATAATTGGGTTTTAATAAATCCTATCAAGGCCCTGTCTTATAAAGGGTTGATAATAATCGCAACTTATTTATGATTGATATCAATCGCAACTATTATTAATAGGAGACTGCAAACTTGCAATTGATTCAGATCGATCATTCAGATCTATTGCAACTCTAAATTAGGCCCCGGTCTCCATTTCTCTCTTTTGGATACATTCTGATAAGTGATGACTAATGCACCTACAACTTGATAAAGGACACACCGTCTCATAATTCTGAAACGACATAATTCTGGAAGAAATATGAACAATAGCGAACAAGTTATCATGCAGATTTAAAAACTTACATTGGGAAGGGCAAGAAGATAAGCCAATGCAAGATTCACGTCTGACTTGAAGGCATCCATGGCAAGCTGTTGTAGTACTGTGGAGAAACATAGAATGGGTAGCAAGTCACAAACTGATAAGAAAACCATCTACCTGGTCATACATGACCATGTTCTCTCCACTTATCACAAATTCATACACATTTTCATGTCAAGTCATGTTTAATAATAGTCAGTTTCTACACATTCTAACAATGTCTCTAAACATTTTTGGTTCTTTATGAGTAGAGGGATTATTACCCTGGCTTAAGATACTATGAGATAAGATAGTATTTGTACACTGTGCCATACAAATATAACTCCTACATGCACCCTACTAATCCTGGGTTGAGAGAGATAGTTGTAGATAAAATGCCTTGCACGAGGACACATTCACCGGGGAGGGTTTTGAAGTCTAAACTTATCAATTGAAAGTAAATTGAATGGATTGCTTAATGATAGTGTTCCCATTGTTTAAGTCTTTAATATAAAACTGTATGACATACATGTATCTATTTCTCATGATCAAAACTATGTGGAATGACCCCTCCCCCCCCCCCCCAAAAAAAAAAAAAAATTATTCTTACCATGAGTTGCATGTTCAGACATGGACTCGTCATCTTTGGTCAGTCTTCTCAGCTGTATGGCTCTCAGCAGTGCTTCATTGAGTGACCGGTGTGATGTCTCACTAGATGACCACTGGTAGTTGACATAATTAGGATCATCCTGTCGAAAAAGAACAAATAAAAGCAAATTATAATGTTTGAATATCTTGTTTGAGTAATGACAACAAGGGAATAATATTTAAGTCTGTTTTGCTGTAAAATGTTTGGAATCATCTCAATCTTTTTTTTAATGAAGATTGTATTGTATTCTGAGGAATTTCACCAGATACTAACAGGTACAATGTATATTATAAGAGAGAAAACCCTATAGTACACAACATTTATGGGGTTTTTATAGGCATAATTACATGTTCTGGTGGGATTCCTAGATTTACATTCATAATCGGATGAATTTAAGAACAATGCAAATGACACATTTACATAGGGACCAATAAGTACTATTACGTAAAAGTGCAGTGACGGTGTAATGATCAATATCTGTAAGTTCCCATATTTTCCATGTATGGGAAAGTGTTATTTAAGAGCTGCTTGTGTTTAATATATTTGTATGTTGAGAAAATAGTGGTGTATTAAAGTAGCCAGGGATAAAATATAATGTACCACTACAAATACATGAACATGTATCAAAATGGCTTTGTGATTAGAAGACGTCTATTATACAAAGACAATATTCAAACCTTGCTTATGGCAGGTTCCTTGTAGCAGGCCTCATAGAAGGCAGGACACACCCTCCTCTCAATGCCAGACCTCTCCACATCATCCTGGCTCGTGTCCCCCTGGCTGTCCCCTGCCATACCCCTCCCTAGGGGCCTAAGAAACTGCATGGTCCCCGCCCACCACTGGGTGTCGCTCACACTGGCAAGGACAGCCTTGGTGGTGGCGCCGGTGGTGGCGAGTACTGCGGAGGTTGCGGCACCAGTGGTTGCCAGGACAGCGGATGTCGCAGCTCCAGTGGTGGCGAGGATCTGTCGGGTTCTCCTGGTCATGGTTTGTGTGGATGTCTCTAAGTCATTCTGCAATTACACAGAATCAAAGCAAAATAGTGTTGATGATGATGATGATAATAACAATAGTGCTAATATTAGTGTACAGATTATAATTAATTTCAACCCCAAGGATTCAAAGCCCTAAATACCATCAATACTCCATCTTTAGTCTATCTTCTATCATAAAGCGGTCAAGCATTCAAGGAACTTCTTTCAACAGGTATTTTACTTCACCTTGGTCAGGAATGGTAAATAAAATGTAGATTCTATCCACAGGACCTAGGAAATATATGCTGAGGCAGGGATTTGATCCCTGGATCCACTGGACCATGACACCCAAATTTAACCCTATTGTGTCAAGTTTGAGCTGTGTATTCAAAAGAACATTTCATGTATCATATTCATATCAACACACTAACACTTACCTCAATCCCTTCATCTTCCACTTCTGCTGTATCTTCTGGTAAGGAATCTTGTGTTTCCATGGCAACTTCTTCCTCCTCATCTTCCTTTCCTTTCTGGCCATCTTCCACTTCTACTGGCAATTTACTATATAAAATCTGGAAGAAAACAAATAACGAAAATTATTGAAGAATATATGTGTATATGCATATACATATTATTACAACCATTTAACATGCACAAATCATGTTTAAAGCTATTCAATGTTATCATATTTGTGTACATGATTTATAAAAAATGGTGGTACTATATTGATGGAAAAAATATTAGAAAGAGATAAACAGGAAGATAATAAAAAGACTTAAATTCAGTTAACAAAAGGAAAACTTAGACCACAGACTAACTTCATTTTAATAATTTTTTTAATTTTTTTTTAGGAAATTAATGGGTCCAAAAGTTGTGTATACATGTATAAACTCTCAAAGAAAACATTCAAAATGATTAACACAAAAAGGCCCAAACCAAACAAATCCATTGAAAAATTAGATACATAATAAAAAGATAAATTTACCTGAGTAAGGAGCAAGTTCCTGGCTTCTAGAATAGCAACCAAGGCTTCCGGTTCACAGTAGGCTGAGGCAAAGGCAAGAAGCTCACGTCTGTGGACCAAAGGAAAATGTAAATTAGTCTTCACGCTCAAAACAGCAATGAGGACATTACAAACCAAATAGACCAGGAGGGTGTTTCACAAAGATCTTAAGTCAAACTTGACTGTTAAAGTTGGACTTGAAAATTATGGAGAGCCATTTGTAGCCTTAAATTACAATATATTCAAAAGTGAAAATTCAAGTATTTTAGAATTTTTATAAATTCCACATCAAGAATATGAAATCTCCTTGATAATAGAGAATATGAATGATTTGAATCAATATTTTATGCCTTTTGAAATAACTTGCTACAAAATATTTTTATAGATGCTAATGGCTTTCCATAATTGTTAAGTCCAACTTAGAGATATGTTCAACTTAGGATCTTTGTGAAACACCCCCAGGTACCTTAAATGATGGAATTGGACAGTGCACTTAATATGACTTAAAAAGGTAAAAATGCAACCTTGCAACAGACAGAAAGGGCACAAGTCCTTGCTCCAATAAAAGAAAGGTTTGACAATTATAATGTCATAGTTACAAATAATTGTGAATTTCTGCGGTCTGATCGTTCATACACACTAATGTGGGCTTGGTGTGCAGTGCAGACTTTCTCTTCTCTTTCAAATATATTGACCCTGCTCTACATTTTTGAACAATCTCTTGGAGAGGTTCTCACCTGGCTTGAAGGTCGTTGAATTCATCTTTGAGGGCAAGATCTCTGCACACCTCCCAAGCAGGTCCATAGCTGTCTGATACAAGACGTTTGTTAACATCCCATGCTGTCTTGTAGTCAGAGGCCTAGGCATAGGAATAATAGGATTGAAATGTGTAGTTATAATGATGATACTAGCGGTATTAAACAATAATGACAAGGGTGATAATTGTCATTGAAGTCTTTGAGAGCGAGATCTCTGCGCACCTCCCAAGCAGGTCCATAGCTGTCTGATACAAGACGTATCTTTATAAGCATTCCTGCAGCAAAACAAAAGGAATCTCTACAGAAAAAATAGTATTACAGGGCAATTTGTATACTTTCATGCAGAAGTTTTCAGAAAAAAGAGAAATTTAAGGTTTCATAAAATTAGTTTGAAGGCAAAAAAATATACATCCTCCAAATGGAGATGTTTGGCAGCTAATGTATACATCAAATGACAATTTCTTATAATATTACGCCAGTATGAATCATGAGAATAGCAATTTTTACCTGTAATGCAGCCCTGCTCACAAGAACTTGCACTTTACCCTGCCTCTCCTTCTCATTGTCACCACATACACGCAACAACTTGGCAAGCCGAAGCAGCTAGATATGGATTTAAGAAACACAATAATAAGAGATCATTTACCTTCTATTTTAAATAGTTAATGAATATATTGATGAACTATCTATTTTCTATTAAAGGCTAGATAAAATTTGATCACCATACCATGTTCTCTTTTGATGTAAACATATTTAAGGATGACTATTTTCATGGATTTGTAGGTAATCCACTTTATAATTGAGGAACTTATTTACCAAAATATCAGGAGCTATCCAGTGGTAATTGAGACTAAATTCAGGTGAGGATTGTAATTTATTTCATTTTCGATGATAGTAGTTACAGAATGATGCACTTCTGATGTTTACCTTTTCTGAGTTGGTGCAGGAAGATTTGGCAGATGTAATCACTTTCTCCACCAGTTCCAGTCTGTCTTCACATAGTCTCACTGAATATGAAGTAAAACAGAGACAAAGGGAGAGGGAGAGAGTTTAAATGAAAACTTGTAGCGTAATAGAATGCCGGGTCATACTCCAATGGAGAACTGAAATACAAATTTAAAAACATCTTGAAATGATGGTAGAACAAGATTAATATATTTGTGTTACAAATGAATAAGGATTGATGTAAAACCAGTATGAATTTGTATAGTGTTCTAAATGATGACCGTGATGATGAAGATGATAATTATGATGATGATGTTGTTGATGGTGATAATGATGATGATGAGGAGAATGAGGAGGAGGAGGAGGAGGAGAATGTGGATTAATGGTGATTATGGCACCATTGATGGTGATGATGATGATGAGGATGATGATGGTGGTGGTGGTTGTGATGATGATGATGATGATGATGGTGGTGTTGATGCCAATAAGAATGACTATGACCAAACAAAAATGACAATGACGATAATTAACATGGTGGTGATGAGAATGATGATGATGATGACTGAACACTTCAGTAACCCTCTACAAAGGACTTACCTTGAAGAGGAAGAATAGGAGTTGAGAAATCATCTAGGAGAGCCAGTGATGCAATGAGATCTAGTTCTTCCTGGATCCTAGTTGGACAGTCTGTCATCAGCTGCAGACAGGACCTAAAGTAAGATGGGGAAAGAAAACACTGATCATATCAAAATGTACACACAAGAAGGCACATACGGGAAGTACCGGTATGTGGTTAGCTACAAATATAATCTAATTGAACAATGAGCCTTTCTCTCTCCCCTCTCTCTCTCTCTCTCTCTCTCTCTCTCTCTCTCTCCCTCTCTCCCTCTCTCTCTCTATCTCTCTCTCTCTCTCTCTCTTTCTCTCTCCCTCCCTCCCTCTCTCTCTCTCTTTCCTAAGTGCCATAGTCAAATTTTGGTGACAATGCCTCTCAGCCTTCTCTATCAATTCCATCTCCCAGTTATTTACTCCCTTTCCTACACCAGTTTTTTAACTGTCATCAGTTCCAGGGTGTTCTGCTTCTTTCATCTTCTCTGCCAGTGCCAGATGTATAAACATCCTTTGCATAGAAAGTGTCCATGCAACCTCATCAAGCCTAACGATTAGCTGTTGCCAATAATCTCCCACTTGCCTTACATACAATCAATTCCTGTTATATTATTACCAAAATGTATAAAATGGGTACGATCTAGTAAAAATAAATTCCTGAAACACTTGAGGGTGGCATCATAGCGGCTCCGCTAAAGCCAGTAGAATGGAAAAATTCTGCATTTTATACCGCATAGGGTGCTCAGTAAACCCAGTAATCATCAACTATCATTCCCTTTACCTTGCTAGTTCCATAGTGGTATCCATCAGATCAGCCGATGAGTTGAAGTATTCCCTTGCTGCTGAGAGGACCAGGTCAATGGATCTCTCGTAAGGGATCAGGGAAGCCGCCTTGACCGATGATCTGGCCAGGACGGAACCCTCTGGTCTGGTCTTGGTCAGTTTCTCTCCAGCGAGTCGGATGTTGGCGATGGATCCAGAACCAAGAAGACTCTCTGTGAAAATCTAGAGACCATCACACAAAAGAATTCTCAAAATATGTTATACTGAATTAAAATTTAAAGATGATTTATTTATCTAGACACCATCAAACAAAAGAATTCTCACAATATGTTATACTGAATTAAAATTTAAAGATGATTTATTTAAAGGAATGATGAAGTTGACTGATACAGACCTGCCAACCTCTGGAGTTCAAAAACTGTATTCTTTAGTCCCAAAAGTTGTATTTTACTGACAAAAGTTGTATTCTTGAAAATAAATACGGATTGTTACGCGGATCAATGCCTCTTACAGTTTCTACCTACAGGAAGAATTTTTTTTATTGATCATTGGTTGAATATGCATGATTTCGTCATGACTGGTGTGTTCGATGAACCAATGAACATCCCCAAATTGCTGATGTGAGATGCTTGTAGGATACTTTACAGGACAGAATGGACATTTTGCCATTGAAAATGGCGGATGCACACACAAAATATTAATTTAAAAAAATTTAAATTTAAATTTAAAATTTAAAATTTTTTTTTTTTTTTTTTTTTAATTTTAAAATCATATTTTATTAAGGAAAATCGTACTGTTGTATTTGCTTCTAAAAATCGTACTAAATATGACTAAATTATACTGGTTGGCAGGTCTGCTGATAGCAGGTGAAACAGAGATATTTATTTTAATAGTACAACTACATGTAAGTGCTGTGTTCTTCATTACAAATAATGTTTTGTTTCATATTATGTGACATTCTTTTCTGTTTTTTCCCCTTTGTCTCATACAAACATGAACAAATAAATACAAAGTCAAAACTAAAATCATTTTCATTGTTACTTCTTTGTTATGAACAATAGCAAGCATACAGTGCTACACAAAAGAATATACACCCTCAAATTGGCTACTTTTGTTGCTAACCTAACGGGAGGTGGCTTTTTTAGTGTCCTTCTGAGCTTTATCGTTATGTAAGAAGGCAGAATAGCCAATGAAAGAAGACAAACAAACCAACAAAAACAAAAACAAAAACACAAGAACATACAGTATTTATAGAACAAGAGTAGGCTTGAATTCAATGTATGCCTGTATATATGCCTGTATTTTGGTTTACATATCATATTAACTTGTTGCCTACTGGAACAGGGTAGTCCCTGTATTAAGCCCATGGGAAATAGAGAATTCAGTAGTCAACGGGTTAAAATATGATTGCAAATTGTTGTATACCTCTTGACATTGAGTGGAAGACAAACACTTGTAGACGATCCGTCTGAGTTCCAACATGTCCTTCCCTAGCTTGTTCCACTCCCACTCTCTCTTGGGGGGTTTCCTGAAAGGGGAAAAAGGTTGATGAGAAAGATAGGACACAGTTCTAAAAGTACCACAAGTGTAGTAAAATACACAAGACTTAACACGTAGAAAACAGATACATAGAGCAACTACAGGAATTTAATATTCCAGTCACACTAAAAGGCCAACACCAAACCAATATTAGAGATCACAAGAACCCAAAAGGCTACATGTCAGTTTGTATGAAGTCGATCTGGGGGGGGGGGGGGGGGTTCAAAAAGCCTTTTTTCAATGACAAATAACAAAAACCAGTGACAAATCTGCTGATAACCAATCAGAAGCAAGGATTTCAGTAGCTTATAACACAAATTGTCATTTGTCACTAATGACAAGATTTGTGAAATGCCCCCTGGGTGGTGTGACAGACATATAGGTGTTATCTGAGAAATTTTGGCAATTGAAGAGTAATGCTCCAGTGCACCTACTTGGTTTTGATATCTGGGCCTCCTAACACAAAAGTTTGTGATCCATTGCAAATTTAAATCGACGATTCTGATTGGTTAATGGTCAGTCTTTTGAACGATATGTGCATGTAACAATGATCTTGATTGGTCATTGTCATTTTGCAATTGATCGAAAACCTTACGGGCCCTAGGACATCCTAGCTCTACAACCCTCCCTCCTTCGTATACCCACGTCACTATATGAACTCACCCTCTAGCAGCCTGTCTGGCAAGTCTAACCATCAGCTTGGCAGCAGCATCCTCATCACTTTGGGTCTCTCTCACTGCTCGGGTCGTCATGGCAACACCATGACTAGCAAGGATCTCAATGGCCTGGAGATGACCTTCAAGCTCATCAAGGTCATGGTAGAGGGCAGACAGGTCGTCACCAACAACTCTGGACAAATAGGAAAGAGCAACAGACAGTATGTTAAGGCTGTTCAGACCTACATGATCACAATAAAATTAACAGTGGTCCCACCTGAACGATTCTGGCAACTATAAAATCCTTGGGGGTTCTGTCAATCAAACATTGCCTCACAAATATTATCGATAATCGCTATCCTAAGGAAAAAGCGCACTGCGCTATCAAACAAGATTATAAAATCACTGAAGGGAGCTCAAAAGTATTCTGATACCAATGATTTGGTATAACAAACATTTCCCATACATCCTGGCTAACCCAAGTAAAAATGTATCTCAGGCTTCAATGATTAAGAACTTAGAAACCCTTCAATGATTTTCCGCTATACTCTGTTATAGAGAGCTTTCCAATCACCCAACAAGGGTTCAAACACAATTTCATGATATTACTCTATAAGCTCTGTAATAGGAGAGTCTTCAAGCTTCCAGCAAGTATTCATTCAATGATCTAACAGTCTTTCCATCTCCCAGCAAAAAATCATATGTAATCCCTATAAGCTCTATATAAGGAGAGTCTTTAAACTACCAGCAAGTATTTATTGCATGATTGCAGTCTTTCAATCACCCAACAAGAATCAAATGTAATCCAAGGCTCTTACCCTAAGCTTTGTTTGGGTAGAACCTTTAGGATCCGTCTTGCTACATCTAGCTGGTCGTCTCTCTCACAGGCATAGATACATCGCTGAGCTAGAGACAGGAGGTCACTCTTCTTTCTTATGATAGGCTCTGGAGACTGCATTATTAAAATAAACAAATAAAACAAATAAAACAAAATGCATTATAATTCTTTAATAAAAATTGACATGAAATCCATTTAAAAACTAGATGGAACTTCGACTGCGCGCAGTCGAAAATGATGCCTCCGCCAAAAAGCAATTTCACAAACCAAAACAGAAGCAATTTTTTAAATTCAAGTTTAATAGTAATCCACAGGTTCTCAGAATATTGTGATTACAAGCTATTTTTCATATACCGTATTTGCCGGCGATAAGGCCGCACCCCCGATTTTGACATTTAAAAAAAAAAAAAAAAAACTTTTGTAGAAGGTGAGATTTGAACTCTTGCATATAAATTTTTGTTGTGATTAAAATCACCGCCTTAGACCGCTCGGCCATCCCGCAATGATGACGTCCTCTGCAGTTTTTTCTGATGTATACATTGGGCCTCTCTCTTGTGTATTGCGCCATAGGCATAGGCATAGGCATAGCTTTGCTCGCGCGATCGACGGCAAAAACTTAAATCTAGATCTACCAGTAGAGTTTGGTTGGTAAGTTATGAATTTTTTTACAAGATTAGCAAAACTTTGCCCTTCATTTAAAAAATATAACACATAATTGTCGTAAGACATGTGTTATTCTAGACAGTTATTCTAGAAATGTCCATCACCTTTCATAGTTGTCCCATATGTACAAATTCGTGCTGTGTTTCATGGTTTTGAAATGCAATTTTTTTTTTTTTACTCTTTCGCCGTAAAGGCCGCACCCCGACTTTTTGATATTTTCTCTTTCAAAAATACTGCGGCCTTTACACCGGCAAATACGGTACATGTATGACCCTTTAATCTTATACATTTTGCAGCGTCTTTCAAACCTTGGTGTACCCTTTTTTTTTTTTTAACAGATTCAGAAAATAAACATACTTACTGTATGTTTACTATTCTCCAAAATGAGCTGACATTTGCACAGATCCTCCTGCAATGATAAATCAAATGAACATATGAGGGTGAGAGGAAGCTAGCAGATTTCTCATCTGAAGAAAGCGAATAAAACAAGCTGACATGGAGCGGGATCAACATTAAAGCTGTAAAAACACACACACACATACACACAGAAGAGAGGATTTACATAGATTGGTCAGTTAAGTTACAAGATCGACTTTAACTGATGTTCATACGATGTATAAAATATTGGAAGACATGCTCTTATGGCATTTTCCTTGACTTTGGGTACATATTTTTTTCTCCAATGCCATCTGCCTTTCATATTGTTTTGATGTCTTGGTCATTGTGATTGTTCATTGGTTTTGATTAATAAAACTTGAGTTAGAAGAAGAAGGAAAAAAGTGTTAAAAGATAATGGCACAGCTAGAAGAAACACAGAAATAAAATCAAGACTTTCTCTGACCTTGGCCAACGATAGCATGAACTCCTCCGTGAGGGTCACTCTGGTTCCAGGCGAATCTTCTTCACACCTCTGGAGAAATGGAATCACCCAACGCTTCATATCCTTCACATACGTCTCGGATGGGGACTGGCACAACAAGAAAAAGATGAATTGATAATAGGGGTGGACATTCTGTTTCATCTTTAATGAGGAGGGAATGAAAGATCTGTAAATTTGTTTGTCTGCTAACACGCCTGTCATATTAAACACATGTCTTGGATGGTGGCTGTCATGATTAACAAGAAAATTATAAAGATAGAGTTTTTACATATAAAATGAAACTTGGAATCATACATCTGAATAATCTCTCTACAATACCTTAAACTTTTTAGATTTATCAAGGGGAACTGCTTTCTCTTTCTACACCCTCCTTTAATTGAAAAAACTGATATCACTATTAAATGTTATCATGTATTTCTATATTATCAAGAAAAAGTATAAGATCATATTAGGATGAGAAGGTACATTGTGGTTTGTTTAACATCATGTGCAACGATGACAAGCTGGAATGCTACCCAGGGAGCGGAGAATGTGCAAACATTGTGTGTAGGTAAGCCTAAATCTGATGACCTTGTTTGACCTCTCACCTTTGACATCATGAGCAGCATTATCTGGAGGTTGGTGAGTTTCTTCAGTGAAGCAAGGGTCAAATCAGGGTCAGTCTGGCACTCATACGACACCACTTCCAAGGTCAAAAGGTCATGGTGAAGACTCTCCAGACCCTGTGATTCATAGACAATGACAAACATGTTATTATTAAAAGGAAGATAAAAAGTGCAATGATAGATATCTATTTGTTATTATTAAACATGTTCTTATTAAAAGGAAGATAAAAAGTGCAATGATAGATATCTATTTGTTATTATTAAACATGTTATTATTAAAAGGAAGATAAAAAGTGCAATGATAGATATCTATTTGTTATTATTAAACATGTTATCATTAAAAGGAAGATAAAAAGTGCAATGATAGATATCCATTTAACCCAGGATTTTTTTGTTAAAGCTTGAATGCAAACATATGGGGATTTTTTCTTCTTCTGATAGTTGGGGCCTTACATGTACATAGTTGACTGCATGTCAGTAAAACCTTGCACAAGGTCTTGGTTTAGTTCCTGAGACCTCAAGTTTCCTAGTCTTCATGGTGTAATTGTTGGTGTTTATATAAATGCTTCCAAAATATGTTTTGAGTATCAAAACAGAAGCCAGAGAAATGGCTAGCTTCTGTAATTAAATTCTGGACTCAGTTTTGTTCAGTTATTAAAGCAACTAATTTAATTGGTCAACATCTAATAGCACTTGATTTAATTAAATATATATCACAGCAAACACTGTATCAATTTTTACAGCAACTAATTAAAGCGATCCGTTCAATTTAAATTGAAGCTATGAAAGATTGGAAGAGGCTTACCGGTATATTCCTTTCCATAGCCAGTCTAACCAATGAAAGGGCATTGTCCACCTGCAAACACAAAAGAAAAATTGAATGATTTGTGCAAATGACAATTTAAGTTCCACTACTGGTAGTTTAGAAAACTGAAATACAATCATTTTGTGAAATAACAACATCATCACAACAAAGGTTCTGGGGTCACATTCCATTTGAAAGGAGAGGACATCATTCAGAAGTACTCTGCATAAAGATTATATATTCCATTTTGACTAAACTTCTTTTTCTTGGACTTAAAGCCTTCAATGGTATGTTTAATCCTATTACTACTTTCAAACTATTTCCATCGCTCATCATCCTAAGCCTTGCTCATCGATTTACGTATTTAAACTTAACATATTTTCATCTTCTACAGCCATTGCTCTGTATATCATCCAGTCCCCCTCTTTTTATATCCCTTCCTACTTCCCTCTCCCCTCTTTCTCTGAATCTTTCCTTCTTGTTATCTTTTCATCTCTGTCTCTTCCTCTCTTTATCTCTCTCTCTCTCTTTCTCACTCTCTTCTCTCCCTCTCTCCCTCCCTTCATCTCTCCCTCTTTGTATCTCTTCCTCTCCCCCCCCCCCCCCCCCTCTCTCTCTCTCTCTCTTCTTTTCTACTACCACCACATACTGATATTTCCCTATTCATCTCACCTGTCTAGATTCATCTTCTATGGCCATTGCTCTGAATATCACCCAATCAGTCAGGAGCTGCTTGGTCATTGTCTCACACCTATGAAAGAACAAGTATATAAATACATCAAACTTCCTTAAGAATATTACACATAATGTATAACAGGATGCTTAATAGGACCTCTGCACATTTCTACTTGTATTCGCAAAATGATTTTTAACTTTGACTTTGATATTTTTAATATAATTAATATTAATTTGTGATAATAATGATCTGATAATTCAAATACGTTTTTCTTTTTTTTTCATTTACAAGCTGCTCCATCATTCTCAACATGAAACATCCATTTCATTCACACCGCTTAATCTGCTCTAGACATAATACCATGACAACTTGATTTGTAGAAACTGTCGCTGAATGGCAATGCTCATCAGATTAGCACTTTTAAGTTATCATTTTCTCTCAATATTTCAGCTGTTTCAAAATTCCTTCCCCTTTCTCTAGAATAACCCCTTGACTTTGAAACAAAAAATACTTTTGAAATGGCTGTCCTTGTCATTATCCTTTCGATATATGCTCGTTTAAATCTTTTAATTTTCTTAATAGAAGATACCATCATGTAAATCAGTATAGCATGGGAGATGTGAGCTGGTCTAGTGGTAATGTCCGTGTTACGATCAGCTCTCTGTCTTTGCCTACAAACTGACTCAGCAGTCCCTGGCTCAAGACTGAGTCATGTCTTTTGGATACTGACGTTACAGGTCGGTCCCAGACGTACATAATCATATCTGATTGATACACGTCTGTTAAAACCCAAGTTACTGTACACGCAGTGCTTTATACCTGAATTTCATGAGATCTGGACTATCCTCGTAGAGGAATGCCCCGTAGTCCAGCTGTGTTGGGTTGATGACCCTCTGGCAGTCTGGGCCCTCGCACCAGTCCTTGTCCCTGTGCTGGTCCTGGTCCCAGGAATACACCTCTGGATCTGACTCATAGCTGGGGAGGAAAATAAGAACTTGGGTGTAACTTTAAAGGGGTCCAGTAACATTGCCTCAGATTCTGAAACAAAATCCTGGATGTAGCCCATGCTGCAATCATAATTGTAAACCTTTTGGTTAGTCAGGAATCCCATGACTTTTACAAGCCGATCGTCTGTCTGATTATCAAGATATTTAAGATTCAAAATCGAATTCAAATTTTGCATTTTCCTAACTGTTTTCATAACACTACAGTCTATTGGGGGAAAATGAGTATGGTAAAACCGGTCACTCAAAGATTTTTACTTTTTTGAGGCACTTCATGATCATTTTGAAGCGCTTCAATTTACACCATATCACAGACACTGATAACACGTAGGGCCATGCATCTCAGATTTAACATTGTTAAATGATGCCTTTAAGTAAGCAAAGATTGTTGGACAAAAAGCCACATTTACACATTATTACATATGTGTTTTTTATTCTCAAGAAATAAGTAATACATGTATGTAAAATACAAGACTCTTTTTACTGCCTTTTTGATGCTACTGAAGCGTTAATGCTGCATTGAATCTTCAACTCAGTGATACTGGAGGAAATCACTTTTAGAGTGATTAGAGTCTGCTCATGTAGAAGTTGAACATTCACCTTGATAAAACATCTGAGATTATCATCCCTCTTTAATACTCTATTGAGTTGGAGCATAAGATTCAGAAGATATGCAAAGAATTGCAGACAATTCTTGGGGGTGTTTCACAAAGATCCTAAATTGAAGTTATCTTTAAATTGGACATAAAAATTATGGAGAGCCATTAGCATCTTTGAAAATATTTTGTAAAAGTTATTTCAAAAGGATTCAAACCATTAATATTTTCTATTTTCAAGGCGATTTCATGTTTGTGATGTGGAATTTATGAAAAGTTTTAAAATACTTGAATATTTGCTTCTGAATATATTATATTTTAAGGCTACAAATGGCTCTCCATAGTGTTTAAGTTCGACTTAGGATCTTGGTGAAACACCCCCCTGGTATACATGTATCAATAAACCAGTTTACGGTTATGGGTGCCATTTTAATTTACGAGTAAACAAACCAAATGACCCCTAGAGGTCAGTGGTTTATGCGTAAATTAAGATTGCGCCCATGCAAATTATGATGACATCACTGCCTGCGCACTGCGTTCTGCGCTCACAGCATAATTTGCATGGGCGCAATCTTAATTTATGCATAAACCACTGACCTCTAGAGGTCATTTGGTTTGTTTACTCGTTAATTAAAATGGCGCCCATGTCTGCGCATGCGCACTGTTGTAACCGTAAACTGGTGTATTCTGATATTTACTCAACCTAATACTCCATAGCATTTGACATATTTACTTTACTTTACTTTCAACCAACCTAGCTTCTGGGAGCAGTGTCTTGTATTCAGTAGGGGGCGTGGTCTCAGGGAAGTTATTAAGAATCATCAACCAATGAGGTAAGGTGTCCTTTCCATGGTAGGTGAACATGATCTCTGAAGCCTTCCAATCAGAATCCTGCAAATAGAAATGGTATTAATAATTCATAATATACTTTAATAATATGATTAATTCATGTTTATTAACTTTGTGGTTTATAGTTTAACTATGGATACCTCATTTTTGTCTTACTACAAAAATTCAATTATTCTTTTTTGAATATTAACAAATTATTTTCTTTCAACAATAAAAATTTCTCTCCACAAAGTTTCCAAACAATGAATAATTCACTATATGTCTATAAAAACTTACCCTAGCCATTCCGACTGCTGCTTCAACAATGTTTTCAGATCTGAACTTCTCAAAGTTCTTCTCGTTGTAAGCTCTCAATGCTGACTCTCCTCCTCCAAGAATTTCCTTTATTAACGAAGATAAAAACAATGAAATACATGTTTACTGATGGTTTTTCAAAACGCATACTTTCAATTCAAACCCAACGAGGGTTGCAATGATGTTGATTTCCTCTGCAGTTGTGTTTATTCCCTTGCAACTAACATTGAAGTTCAAACAAGAAATCCACATCAACTTGCAGCTCTTTCAGTTCCATTGTAGCAAATAATTATAAAGTATTATAAAATATTCAGCTTGATTGTGCAGATTATTTTTCTTCCCGAAAAAAAAAGAGATATGTACATACCCAAGGTCCAAGGGAAGACATATTGTTCCCAACTTGACCATCAAACAGAGAAAAAATGTTAAAGTATGACATTTGTTAACATTTCAAACACAATTCTTGATTCTTTTTTCTAAACTGAGTGGCACAATATGGAGTTGAGAAAGTTTTCATTTTAAATCTTGGTTTACCTCGTAAGTCTTGAGTCTGTCCAAGTACCCCAGCAGTCTGGTACGGCAACGGCACAGCTCCCTCTGCTCAAGAGTCAGCCTAGTTGATACAAGAAACAAGACTTTTAAAACCTAGTGACAGCCGTTTTGCAAGGATTTTATTGACAAAAACTGACAAATTAAGAAATATAATAACCTGTATACTTAATCAACCACATACATGTACACTGAAGGAAAAATGAGAAAATGTGGCATTGAACAATCTTGTTGAATATCTTAAGAATCCATTTATTATTCAAAGTAGGTAAACTGCAGTACACATGCATATTGAGATGCCCGTCAAGGTCACATGCCATTTATTGACTAAAATGAAAGCAACTATAATACTTAAAGAAATCTTCTGGGCAGAAAATACTTGTCTCGACTATTTTGTTTCAGTTTATTCTATGTGAATGAGACTATCAATCAAATTTTTGACAACTTACTTTGAGAAGTCAACCTGGGCCAGGAGTTTTTCTCTCTTCTCCTTTTTCTTCCTCTCAAATTGCTCTTCCTCCGTTTCTTCATCCTCCTCATCATCGTCATCACCATGACGATAGTTATCAAAGTTTCTCTCAAGCTCAATGTCCTCATCGGAACACAAGATGAATCTAGCCAAGAAGAGAGGTAAAGAGATAAAAACAATAAGGAGTCTCATATGGGACAGCCTTTCTTTCTTTTTTATTTGGAAAGGTTTTATTTATCAAAACATCAACATAAAAAATTCAAAATATGTGTTACATTTGTTTTATAGAATATTTCTATTGGTCTGGCTATTGATAAAAAGCTACTTGTATGACAATCACTCCACAATATCCAAGTCACACCACTGAAACCAACACTAGCCAGACTTAAAGATAAACTTGAGTTCTGGTAAAAAAAGAAAATGAATTCTCACAGAATCAAATGAAACTTACACTGAATGTTCAAGATTACAAATAAATGTCATTTGCCAGACAATTTTTGTAGAAAATGTAAACTGGCTGAGTAATGAGCATAGAAAGATAAGGAAATCAAGGTAAGTAGGCCCGACACCATTTGTGTGGTCCCATATACATCTTTCTGAGTACAGTGCTTGTTACTTTACCAAGTCTGGGCCAAATTTATTATGATTTTGATGACTCCAGAACCTTGCAGTACACACCAATACTTAAATGCCTCATGAACAACTTTTTCTGATCTATTCCACACGTTTTCTTTCACAATACAATCGCATGGCCAGAACTCAACTTTATCTTTAACAAAATATTACAACATTTCCTCCGTAATCAATCAGTTTGGAGTCGGATCAGAATCGTTGTGGGGTGTGGAGTATATATCACCAGTGAAAATGATATCTACCTTCCTCTGTCTTCCTTGTTGCCGATAGCGATGAGAGCCTGGAGGTCAGTGCCTCTTAGACCATAGAGGAGGAGCTCCCTGGCAGCATCAATATCATCCGGGATGCGATCCAGACACTCATGGAGAACCCACGACCGTTTGGTGATCTTACTCTACGATAATAAAGAAAGATTTATTTAAAATGGGGTTTTGATATAAACGTAAATGATCTCTCCCTTCTTTTGATGGTATTCAAATGGGATCTGAAACTCTCCATCATCACATAATTTTCAAGGAGTATTTCATACTTGAATGATCTATCTCAGGGGCCTTAACTTAACAAGCTACTATTTCTACTCTATTATATTTTGTTACATGTGATTTCTAGAAGCCAAAAAACTTGACACTTGATACTACTATACAATAACTTATTTTACTGCATAAGAAATCAAATGTCAGTATCTGGACAGTTGAACTCTAGTATTTCATAGTTCTGGTTAATAGGTTAATATAAAAGATTAGACAGATATCACTGAAGCTAACTAAACTTTTACTGAATATTAAGACTAATATCAAAGGTCTGATGTCTCCCAAATTATTCAAACAAATAAACAAAGTAAACAGGTTGCTCAAGCCATCCATTGATTACATGCACAATGTGCATTCTCTAACTCATAGCTGTGCTTTTCAGTCTACATGTACATGCTTTCCAGTAATCTCTCATTATCTGTTTACATTTTGCTATTTCAAAACAAACTTTTTACTGCATGGCTGACAGAAGAGAGTGTTTGACATAAAATCTCTGTTAGCAAAACAAGCGATATGAATTGTAACTCACCAGGTAGTCTTGAATGGAGGCCAGGGAAACTCTACTCTTCCGCCACTGCGTCTGGTAGACCAGGTCTGAATCTAGACCAAATCTCTGAGACAGGGCCAGGGCCTCACCATACTCCTCATTTTGGATCTAAAGATGAGAAGCAGAACAGTTTATTGTTTTGACTTGGAAAATTTTAATGTCATACCTAAAAACAAAATATGAAGAAGTTTAGAGTATAGTTACAGTTACAGGACATTGGTACTATTGGCCTGCTGAAGGCAAAATACATCTATCATTCCGACATATACATGTACGATACACTTTTCTATTTTTCACAAAAGTGCTTTAATTTAAGAATAGAATCAACAGGTGTGCACAGCATAACATGACAAAACATAAATTTAGCGACCACCTGTTTACAAAGACACCATTTTCTGTTTCCCTTGAAAATGGTTTCTCATTGAAACATGGACCACCTGCTCATAAAGACCACTTTTCTTGTCTCCCTTGGTGTTCTTTATAGACAGGTTTCACTGTATAATCCCAAAGCCCTGTGCAAAACCAAGTGGCAGCGACCTCCCAAGAAAAGCCTGGGTCAACCTAAACCGTATCAGAACTGGAATTGGCCGCACACAATATTTCCTACATAAAATTGGAGCTGAATCATCACCAAACTGCGCCTGTGGAGAGATCCAAACTATGGATCATGTCATTGATGATTGTCCGATCTACAAATCCCCCCACAGCGCTTTCGGACTTTGTGAGCTCGATGATGAGACGATCTGTTGGCTCAATAAGGATCTTCCTATCTAGATGACGTACTCCCCGATATTCTTTGCATGAATGAACGAACTGTATAATGATGATATTCATTTTCACTTTTGCTTTAAAAAATTATGATAAATATGTGATAATTACAAGCCATGAGTTGTTACCTTTCTGAGGAACAGCTCATCTGGAGTTGTCTTCTGGACGCTCAAAAGACAGTATGTCCTGTGTGTCACTCTACAGGTATGGAAAGACACAAAGACGATTAAGAATAATACAAAGGCAATAAGTTCATCTGAATAGGTTTATTCAAGAGAAAAGTTTGGTCCTGCGAAACAAAAAAGGAATTTTCTGCTATGTTTACTTGATCATGATGGCTCAATATTATAAGGAGATTATGTTTGGAATCTTTTAAATTTAGAAATACATGTAATCATGAACAATATACATAGATAATTGAGGTAAGCTTCAATATGCCGTAACATTCTACTCCCCTTTGCCAAATGTATGTTGAAAAGCAAGGTTAACCAAAATATGTAAAATACCTCTTTCAGCGCTTCTCATAGTAGTAGTGGTAGTTATTTTACCTGACTGCTAAGAAAGCATAAATGCTTGTTAGTAAGCAACCAGACGGCCGACGGCTTTAGGTCCTCTCTGAGGGACCTGGTAATGAGGATTAATGCCTTACCAAAGGGCACCAGCACATCGCCTTAGTTTCGAACCTGGGTCACCGGATTACGAGACCACTGCTCTACCGACTGAGCTATCGCGCCATAATAAGTTAGTTTGGAATTCTATAATGTAACATACATTTTAGAACACACAAAAGAAACAAACAATCACAATCTAACAGTAACTTGAATAGCCTACCTTGGCTTTTTCCTTGGAGGTTGGAATCTGTCACTTTCTGTCACATAATACATCACCTACAAATACAATGACAAATAAATTGACAATGTGAAATGATAATATCACTGGCTTAATCTATTTTATAGTAGGCTTGTTCTACCAATACATAGTGAAAAGTATTGGTGATTTGAACCACATTTCTCCAAAATAATTAATATAAATCTAGAGCTATATCAATGCTTCTGATCAAGCTATTTTCTAACTTTAATCTGTTGGGAGAGATTCAAAATCAATATCCCTTCACTCGCATGTCATAAAGATACCTTTAAAGGTATAGACCACTTTTGGAAACGCCCCAATTTCAAAAAATGAAATGGAAGCTCTTATTACCAATCATGTGAAAGAATATGTTTTGAATAATACATGATGATAAAAATGTTGACGGGGAACCGCCTACTAATTGATATATTTGGTAAGTTAGTGTATCTCTCGCCTGTTGAGAGATACAAATGCATGTGTCGCGCACGTGTGTAGTCGTATATACATCTTTCTGTGTACAGTGATTCTAACTTTATGAAGACTTGGCCAAATTTCTTATCATTTTGATGATTCCCGAACCTTGCAGTACATCTATGCTAGATGATCAACCTTTTCTGATCGATTTCACAATGTTTCTTTCACAATGCAATCGCATGACCATAACTGGTCTTTAGCTTTAAAAAGAAATACTGGCTAGTTTGAATTCAAATGGTTCTATGGCAGATGCTTTAGAGTGACTTGGTCCTTGGTTAATTTCCTACATTTCCTTCCAAATTCCTCATCTTCAACCCTAGATGTCACACTATGCCTATAGGTGTTGTGGTCGAGTGGATATGTCACCGGACTGTCAATCACAAGGTCCGCGGTTCGAGTCCCGCCGCGGCACTAATGTCCTTTGGCAAGGCATTGATCTACATTTGCCACACTCAACCCAGGTGATGTAAATGGGTTCCTGGCAGGAATTAATTCCGTGAAATGCTGGAGCACCGTATGGCAGACATGCTAAAGCCAGGGTAATAATAATGGAGCACCAGGAGTGTCATGTATGACAGACATGAGTGCTATACAAGAACCCACTATTATTATTATTATTATTCAACTCTAATCCTAATCCTTATCCTAATCTAAAACCCAAATGCAACTCTAAATACAACCCTGTATCATTAATGAAATATAGCTAGGAACAAATGTTGCTGGAGCAGACATTGGGTATCATTGTACGATACCTCTTTCATATACTTGGCGGTCTTTGTGAGGAACGGTGCATCTTCATCCTCATCGTCATCATCCTCATCTTCATCATCGGTTCCTTCGCTCATCATACTGGTATCACCATCTCTCTCACCGTCTGTAGGACTCCTTGGTCTCTTCATAGGTAATGATCTACTCTCACACTAGACATAGGAAATGCCGCATCGGATAAAAAAAATATAAAAAATAAGTTATAGAATGTATTAAAGCCCACTGTACTACTTGTAGTTACTTGCTCCCTAAAAATAGAAAACAATGCCTAAGCGGTGCCTGTTAGTCCCCCATGATCCTCTTTTTCTTATGTTAATTAAGAGCTGAGTTGATGAGTTAGCCACTTGTCAGTGAACACCCTGGGTGGTCTAATCCCTCCTAGCCAAACTAGTACAGACGGCCTTTAAACATTTCTTAGACTGTATATAGTTATGTACTCATTTAATAACTTCATTGTCTGGTACGTGAACAGTCAAAGATACTATTCAACATTTATATAGGTTGTGAAAGAATTGGATTGTTTGTTACATTTTTCTTTGAATATAAGATAATTTAGGCAAATGGAAAATTGATGTTGAATCTAAATAAGATCACTTAAAATTTTATTCATACTGCAGTATAAATAATTCTAAAATCATATTTATCATCACACTTAAAGCTTATCTGCACTAGTTTCTAGGAGGGATTAGACCGCCCTGCAAGGTCACTGGACAGGTGGTTATCTCATCAACTCAGCTCTCAATTAACATAAGAAAAAGAGGATCATGGGGGACCAATGGTCACTGATTAGGCATTGTTTTCTATATAGAGGGAGCAAGTAGCTACCAGTAGGACAGTGTGGCTTTAAAGGAGGTTATCACAATAAGAAAATTCCATACTATTGCCACCACCCATATAACCTACCCTTTCATAATATTTCTGTCTCAATTCCAAATATGTCTTTTTGAATGTTGATTGATTCATCATGCCCTCTTCTCCCATGTAAATCTATCATCAAGGTTTTTATCACAAAACCTTCCATAAGCAGTGTACATGGTTTCCTTCAGCAGAGAAAACAAAAATATCGCGCTCATGAAAACAGCATATTCAAGATATTTGTCACATCATCAAATCAAATCAAATCAAATTTGAATGATCAGGGGGTGTTTCATAAAGACTAAGATCGACTTTAAGTTGGACTTAACTATGGCAGGCGGTTCATGCCACTGGTTGCTCTCACCATTGGTCTCTCAATTATGATCTTTAGATAATATATTTTCCTTCAATAATGAACTACCGGTATCAAAAAAGGTAAATTCTGTAGATTTGTGACCATGATTTGTACGTCCTTTGAGAAATTAATGCCAGGAATGGTTAGAAGAACTAGTGGCATGATGGGCCTGCCATAGTTAAGTCCAACTTAAAGTTGATCTTAGTCTTGTGAAACACTCCCCAGAAGTACTTACATCAAGTGCCATGAAGCCCTTTTCAGAGGCCAGTGTCACCCTCGGTGATGGCGCCAACCACTCGCAAGACGTCCCAAGCAGGTTACGCAAATTGGCAACAGAGCAAACAGCTACTGCTCCAGAACATCTAGCCAAGATTACAGCCTGCAGAAATAGAGAGAGAGAGAGAGAGAGAGTAAAGGAAAAATTGCTCTCGTGTTGGAATAAGAAGAGGCAAAAAAGGTTCTTTTTATGGTCATTACAACATCATTATAAAAAGAGAGTAAATATATGCGGTTCATAACATAAGGACATCGTTGAAAGGAAACAACAAAGACCAAAATAAAACAAATGTACGATCTTAGGATACACCAATCAGAAGAAGAAAAAAGATTTTAAAAGAAAATTAATGAAACTTCAACAGTTTTTGTAACAATAATTTAGTTGAAAGAACAATATATCAGTTGCAAAAATTAATGACCATAACTCACCTCTTCAGACCAGAAGTTGATGTCCATTAAGAGATTGGAAAATGAAGAACCTGAAAGAATAAAAGAAATAATATTGACACTGACAGACATTGAAATTGACACCAATTGAAACAACTTGAATTGAAACAACTTGAATTCTCACAAACTCCAACATAATATTCTTATGATACATGATAACTGTGTAACTGCTTATACTGAATTTAATAACCCCCTCCTGGGCCACACAAATTATTGAGTACTATGAACGAGTGAACTGTCAAGATGAACATTTTGTAATCCAATCTTTTGTTTTGTTGTTTAATCGAGCATAAAGTATCTTTAATTTGAAGCAAAGTCCCCTGGTACAAATCTACTTACGTTTAAGAAAGGAAAACTAATTATTACTTTTAACACATACCATATATTAACTAGTTTAATATGTTATGAGATATTGGCCACCGACTGCACAGCAAAGATTAAAACAAACTGCGGCTAAATATGAGAAGCCGATGTCACTCACCATCATTAGCTTTCTTCCGCATCGGAACCAGGATGTTGGGATTAGTCTCGTTAAAACCAGGCTGAAAATCAAAGTTAACGTGAATAATCACAAGTTACTAATTGTCCATGACTAGTATACATAGATGGAATTAAACATGTACTTCTACCTTCTAAACATACATGTTGAATTGATATTTTACAATGCTAAACTAAATGCAAAAGAGTATAAGATTATTTTAGGACTATGAATTGTTCATGTTCTTGCCAACAATTTTCTGTACTACATTACTCATTGTTGTGATTTGCAATTCCTGTTTGTATGAAATGATAACTTTCAAATCAATTTAGCATATTAAGTACATGAACACATGAATAGTTGTGAAGAGCCTAGAGTGTCAAGTCTGACAGACATGAGCGCTATCAGAATCAACTATTATTATTATTATTATCTTGTGCACATGGATCCATCTTATTTTGCACCTTAACAAATATACACTATGAACATGACGGACAATGAACACCTGTTCTACACATTTTTACATAATAGCAGAGAAGGGATGTTCCTTTGTCTACCTGAGGAACTGTATATTTTGTCCGCTTTCATTGTCCGTCATGTTCATAGTGATATATATGATGCCTTATATTTTAAATTCACAGCTTTTGATAAAACACATAATACAAAAACCATTTGAGACCTACTAAACAAAGGTTTTTCCACTTTATTTATCTTTTTCAATTGTACCGGAGTGGGTTTTGGGTAGGAAGATTTGCTGTCTATCAATATTTAGTTTTTCTTTCCACACCTTAGGCAGCCTACCCTTTGCATTTGAATATCAAATTGAATATCTGTTATTTTATCTGTATGAAAGAGAATGATATTTTAATGCATTCTCTAATTTGCATATGCTCAGTAGATAACAATAATTATTCCCAAGAGCTGAGACAAAGGTGAAGCTTCTCAGCAAAGGTTATTAAATCCTCTCTAGAATCTCTCTACCTGTAGAAGTGTCTTAGTCGAGTGGTTTAAGCACTTGACTTGGAATTCAAAGGTCATGGTTGGATCCCCGACACAGCACTAATGTCCTTTGGCAAGGCATTAATCTTCATTCGCCACACTCGACCCAGGTGAGGTAAATGGGTACCTGGCAGGAATTAATTCCTTAAAATGTTAGAGCGCTGTAATGGCAGCTAGGCTAAAGCCAGGGTAATAATTAATGCGCCTCGGAATAGAATTTTTAGATAGACGGCCCTATAGAAATACCTATTATTATTATCATTTACCTGATCTTCTAGAGGCCATGCCTGCTTTCTTCTCAGAGATGGAACCTCCCACAAGCACAGCAGACCAGACTGGTGTGCCGTCACAAGACAGCCTCCTTTGGGAGAAAGGCACATTCTGTAGATACCATCCTGTAGTGAGAGAAGGGAACAAGAACGGTGAATGATTATAAGCTTCTCCATGAACAACATGAGCTCATCCATATGTTGAACCCTCTCTAAGTTCTGTTACCTGTTTTTGAGACCTCTTGAAGATATTGTTCACTGTGGTCATTCTGCGGAACAGCTTTCTGGATGCTCCAACCTACATAAAGAAAGTAGAATATACAGTCAAAACGTGAATATTTGTCATCATTGTGAATAAAAGGATTGACTGGAGTTCATTCTCTTTTGCGGAGCACTTACTGATGATCACACCTGCTTCTTCCCATTATCTGTGACATAAAACACTATGCAGACTTTCTTTGCCCATTATGCGTCAAGTCCTACAGTGCAAGTAGTTTTAAATAAAGTTTCATGAATCATCTTTCACTTTGAAAATATTTCTACCTGTTAACATCATACTTTTCTGGTCACTCAGTGTAAAACAGAACCAACAAGACAAATGTGGACTGTGTCTCAGCCCTAAATTCAGTATAGGAACGGACGGATGTTAGGACAGACGGACGGACGGAAATCCAAAAACATAATGCCTCCAGCAACACCTTCAATGAGAGGGGGCATAAAAATTGAAATTGCTATCTCAGACTTCTTCATTTTCCTGTCGTAAACTTCTCAACATTTAAACAATAAAATTGAAATTTATTATTTTTTAATCAGTATCCAAGAACACTCCCTACTTTAGATGCAAAGTAAAATGTCATCACAGGCATCTGAAAATACTTCACTCACACAGACTAGAATTCATAAAAATCCTGACGACGGATGGTCAACATGTTCAAAACGTCAAGCCACTCCTAGTACCCATCCTCTCCAACTGGCACTATAGTTCTCTTTAGAACTATAAGCTGAAAAAAGATTACCAACATTCCTTTTCAGGATTACACACACTCTCATGAAAGAAACACAACCGACAGTCCTTTTCAGGACTCACCAATCCTCCCCCTCTCTCACATGGTGCAACCGTAAGCCGACTATAAATCTGAATATCTTTACAACATCGAAGCCCTATCTAATGTTAGATTGACCAATTAAAGAAAAAAAATCAAATAAATAAATCTCAACATACCTTCCCATATTCCGAGTCATAGTCCTCCACCAGCTTGTAGTATGGTGGAACGGAGAGCACTCTCCATGCAGTCAGCCCCAGACAGCTGGCCGAGGTGGGTCTGTCCGGGGGATCATCCTGCGACGCACCCCCGATGAAGAGCAGCGAGTGCTTGGCATCGTACGTAGCACAGCTGATGCCTTGTGGGTAATAGCTGCCGAACTGGAAAGTGTGGTCGTACTGGTATTCTCCAGATGAGCTAAAAGAGCAACAGCAACAGAGTAAAATAGTGAGTAATAATTCAAAGCTTCAGTAAAAATTTGCAATTTTGACCTTGTTTTTTCATTTCCTTCTCCGGGTGAGCTAAAAGAGCAACATTAACAGAGTAAAACAGCGACTTATATTTTATAGTGGTTATCTCATCAAATCAGCTCTCAATTAACATAAGAAAAAGAGGATCATGGGGGACCAACAGGCACCGATTAGGCATAGTTTTCTATATAGAGGGAGCAAGTAGCTACAAGTAGTACAGTGGGGCTTTAAAGCAAGTTTTGATGACTTACCTAACCAGATAGGAGTCCAAGCTGCCAACATAGTTGATTACAAGAAGTTCCGCTGACCTGAGTAAAGAGAGGCAAAGTATAATAATAATTTATAATAATATTACATTTATAAAGTGTCACTTAATAGATACAAAGTGCACAAATAGGAAATACCTACAAACAAACAAAAGAGAGAACATATCACAGTCAAGGCAAAAATACAATGCAAAAAGCATTATGTATGATTGCTTATGCTTCCTATATTTATACATTATTATAAGGCCTACATATGTTACTGAGAGACAGAAACACATATCTTCTCAAAAAGAGAAAAAGTACTGAAATTTATTTGATTCCTCCAACATTTACAAATACTCTATGTTAGATCTACTGACCTTGAAATTTACCCTAAATTTGACCCTAATTGTGAAAGTGCAGTCTATGTATAGTGATAAATAGATCCCAAATGCTCTAAATGCAAAGGTAAATGAATAATCTTACCACTGAGCAGTCTGTTTGTAGTCTGTGAAGCGAAGAGAAGCCACAGCACAGCTGAAATCTACAGGGCTATCAGGAGGTTGGGGTCTGGCCTGTAGGAGAAACAAAAACAAGTAAGAACAGACTTATATCGCACCGAGTCTGGTAGTCTGAGCATCAGTCTCTTCATTATTTACTATGAATGTCAGTGACCATATCCGGACACCTACCCCCTGGACATCCACCCCATAGGATAGTTGTCCGGGGGTAGTTGTCCTGGAGGATGGTTGTCATAGGGGGAAGTCGTCCTAGAGGGTGGTTGCACTAGGGGGTAGTTGACTGGGGGTGGTTATCAGGGGGTGGATGTCCAGGGGGTAGGTGTCCTAGAACCGTCAGTGACATTCTATATTCAGTTTTTCATCTAATTTTGGTCTCACGATAACACAGCAAAGTGGGAATTAGAGGCTAGTATCAAGTGGCCTGCACCCACATACTGTACTCTAATTTGACACTTATTAAAACACAATGCCATAAAGTCTTGAGCAGGGCCTAACTCTGTCTATCTGGAGTAGTGCTGAGCCGCTAGACTAAAGGGCCTATGGGGTGCAGTAGACTGTGCAGTCCACATACCAAGTAGTCTAAAAGTTCAGACACTATATTATGCATTACAACTGAACCACATTTGTGAATGCAATCTAGGCATTATGGGTAGAGGACCAAACAATTTAACGTAAAACATGGAGACAAGAAGATACACATAGGGACCTCATGACAGAGACAAAGTTTTATAACGATTGGGAAGGTGACTAAAGCTAAAAAATAAAGAAAGAAAGGACTGAATGACTGACTGATAGAACAACAAAAAGAAGAGGCAAAAAACACAAAGAAAGTGATGAAAACAGAGAAATTAAAGTAATATTCATCGTCTTCATTTCACTGATGGGCTGCAGTATGTCTCACCCTTTCTATTGTGAAGAGCAGAGTTCCAAAGAGATCGAAAGCTCTGATGTTACCCCTGCTGTCTGAGCACGCCACCAAGGCCCAGTCTGGGCTCCATGCTAGCTGCCTCCACTGAGGATGAGAGTCTTTGGGGACTATAAACAAGATTGATGATGATAATAATAATAATAATAATAATAATTACAGCTCAAATTTATAATGCATCTAATACTTTGTTTCTAGGTGCAGCGCATATTATTACCCCAGTCATCATATTCAGGCTTACCCGCAACACAATGTATGCACATTGTCCACTCCCTGCAAAGCATTCCAGCCAGTTGCCATTTTACAAGCGCCACTTGCTAATTCAACCACATTAACTTTCGCATCCTACCGGGTACCCATTAGTGCTGTAGCCCGGAAGGCTTACCGGGTTCCAACCCGCCGGGTTGAGCATTTCGGGCCGGACCAGTTCCGGGCCAAACTGTTGCCAGAATTGGATCAACTCAGTAACAAAACCCGGCAGTAAAAAAGAGTTTTTAAATAGCTCATTGTTCGTTATCTACTTATCTTTCATCACGATAAAACCTTAAAAAGTAACTGTAAACAAACACAGCATGATGGCTCGATCTTTTACATCTGTTGACCTGTCTTTGCAATAGACACTGGGTCACACTGCACACATAGATTTTGTGTTGTGTGTTCAAGTGTGTATATGTATCTCCCTGGCCCTGCCTGTGATGTGACTGATCAGCTTACTGTACTGACCAATCAGAAAGTTTCCCCCGAGTGGGTGGAGAGTGAAACCAGCATAAATTAAAGTTCAGTGATTGCTGGCACAGTAGAACAGACGATTCATAAATTATGAAGTTTGATGACCTAGCTGATAGACAGTGAGTGGCAAATTTACATAATGTGTACGAGAGTGTGTATGTGAAAATTTGTTATGCTTGAGGTGGAGGCTGAGCTGAGATGAAGTCGGCAGAGAGTTAAATTAAAGAGTAATTCCATCACCAAAATACTTCCTGACGAGCGGATTTAATTAGCAAACAATAATTTAGCTAATTTGTTCTCTGAAGATAATTATTGGGGTCCATCCTCTCTCTTATTCCCTGTCTCTAAATTGAACAATTTTTGTTAGCCCAGATTAGAAGAATAAAGGAAGAACAAAAATGATAAGTTTGTGAAATGTTGATAGTCTTTAGAGATGAGAAGGAAAACGAAGTTATCTTCATCATCATCATTCTTCCTTCCATCTCTACCTTTTTTCTATTCTATTTAATTAAATAGAATTATTTACGTAATCTAGTTTTTCTCATGTTTTCTTTTCTTTCTTAAGTTTCTTTCATTGTGTCTCTCGATTCCCCAAAAAATTCATTCACATCTGAAATATCTCTTTCACTATCATGTCGCAGAAATTTAGAATACAAAAACATTCCCTGTCAAAGATTAATGCATGCCAGACAGCTTGGGCCCAACTGGGTGTAACATTACACAGCGGTTTCTTTGAACAGGGTCAAAGGTTCAAAGGTTCAACATGCAGCCTTTGTCCAGCTAGGGCGCACATTCTAAAATATTATGCAAATATCAGTTAAGCATGTAGCATGTGCCTTACATGTGATCATTGTTTTAGTTGGCAGACAAACAGACCAATCATAGTAGAGCATCTTGTATGGGCACTCTGACAGGAAAATGAGCTATTTTTAGGATGCCTACATACATGTAGCTAGCCTTATGCTTCATCTTTTTAGGGAGTGGATTAAGGGTGATAATTTATGCAGACCTGGGACTTATGTCTGGACTCACAGACAGCATGATAAACAAAATGAAGCAATGTGCCCTCTATTCAGGACAAGGTCGGTAGATCACACAAGATGTGTTAAATTTGTAGTAGCTTTCAAATAGAATCTAGTCAATATTATTTCAGTCCAAATCTCACTGGGTTACCAGACCTTTCTGGGTCCCGTTAAGAAATTTGGAAAATTGCCGGGTCGGGCCGGGTCCGGGTTTTGGGTTCCGAGCTACAGCACTAGTACCCATTTAACACCTGGGTGGAGAGTGGCAAATGTAGATCAATGTCTTGCCAAAGGACATTAGTGCTGCGGCAGGACTTGAACCCCGGACCTTGTGATCCACAGTCCGGTGACATATCCACTCGACCATGACATCTCTACGCCTAATGATGATGATTCTGATAATGATTCTGTTTACCCAGGGAAGCCTCTTCAGCAACAATACTATCCTTCCCAATTGAGAGCCCTGTAATCATTATTACCCCAGAAATTGCCATGTACCCATTTACACCTGGGTGGAGAGTGGCAAATATGGATTAATACCTTGCCAGAAGTCATAAGTGTCAGGCTGGGATTTGAACCCTCATGTCTTCATACTTCCACAGAAGAAAAAAAAAAGGAAAGTCATGATGAATTTGAATGAATTACATAATTACCAAGAGATACATTCTGGTAACCTGTAGTCCTGTATTTCTATATTAATTATCATTATCAACACCTGAATTATAATTTTAGACCAGCTTTAAATATCGTGTACCTTGGCATTTGCAGACACAAGTCTGGAAGTTGTCTCTGGATGATCTGACCTCTATGCATGTATCCTGGAGAACAGCGACGAGGTTGCCATCACTAGAAAAAAAAGAGGAACAAGCTCACATTGAAGAGAAGGAAAGCATGATAATCTTTGTGAAAACACTATAATGTAAAGTGAAACCTGTCTATGAGACCACCCAAGGGAGACAAGAAAAGTGGTCTTGCTAGGCAGGTGGTCTTTATGTACAGGTTCCTTTAGTACATGTTCCAATGAGAAACCGTTTTCAAGGGAAACAAAAAATGTGGTCTTTGTAGACAGGTGGTCTTTCTATACAGGTGGTCGCTAAGGCAGGTTTTACTGTATCATCAGTGACATGAGATCAATTACAAGGCACTATAGTTCACATAGAAACCTAATCAATATTCCTTTTTCACTTGTCACTATCGTAGTGTTTCTTCACGTTGTCGTCCTTCTCTGCCACATTAGTGTTCATAGTGTGACCATTTAATTTTCACTGTTCAACTAAAACTGTCAGACTGTTGACCAATTCAAAACTTGTCTTAAGACACGTTCATTCAAAATTGCATTTGATGATCAACTTACTCTGTTAATATTGATGTACATTTCATAAGTATTGTAATTTGTAGGTTCATTTGCATTTTGTTTGTTTTATTTAATATGTTATTGTTTATTATTGTAGTTTGTTTGTCATAGCGCTTCGGTGGTAAGCACTTTATAAGCACAGTTTTTATTATTATTATTATTATTATCATTATTATAATCATAACTAAAACGGGTCATACCTTGCTGTAGCGATGTGCCAGCTGATCTGCGAGTTCACAAGCTTGATGAGGGTCGCTGGTAGAGAGCATGTCGAGGATGATCTACACAGATTAACATCACAGCATAATTTAAGATTAACAAGGACATACCATTCTTTCATTACATAATTGTACTGTGTTGAAATATGAGTCTCATTATATCAGATTTACATCATCTCTAATACACCAAATCATTAAAATCAGTAAAGACCATGATAATCAAATAAAAACTATGAATAAGACATGAGAAAGACAACTGGGTGTCATTTATATACTTTTTGTATATTTCTTCTTTCTTTCTTTCTTTTTGAAAATCAGTTTTATTTCAAATTTGTATCATAAAGTAAAATGATACGCAATTTGCATCTTATTATTTGTAACAAAACATAGTAAAGCCATCATGTTTCATTATAATCCAGTGAAAATGTTCTAAAAACATCTACCGGTAAAAGCAACAGGGTGAATTTGAGCAGCTCTTACCCGAGAGGTATTCCAGTGCTCCTAACAAAAGTCCACAGAGATCCTGTTTTACAATGGAAATAAAATGTAACAAACAAAATAGTTTTTAACACAACAGTTTGCTGTACGGTTCAATCTCATATCTAAAAACAACAAAAATGGTTGACAGAAGTTGCCGCTATACACGAGTGTAGTTTTATCAGGCTCAAGAATAGAAAGTAAGTTTGTGCCAGTGTACTTTGTGCAATTTAATGAAATCTTCAGATTGAATAAATTCTAGAGCCTTATCATACAATAGGAATTTATGACATCTACTGTAATATTATACTCTTAGTGATATTTAGACTCGAATGGATACTATGGAAAGCATAAACTATTTATAAACATTTGTTTTTAATCAAGTAAAGTCAATATCTTACATATTGATGATTGATCTTCTAAAAGTAATATTAATTGAGATGTACATGTACAAACCCTATGATACTTACTTGCAGTAGCTGAAGATACCTTCCCCACCAATGAGTTTTTAGGTTTCTCTGCAATAACACTTGTCTACGAAAGGAAGGGAGAAGAAAAAAAATAACCTGATTAATATATTTTTTAAAGTCAACAAATCATAACAGCTTTTTCCCTGACTCCCCCCCCCCCCCCCAAAAAAAGGAACTCTTAACAAATCTTGTTAGAAAAAATCTTGGCATGTTATACAGGAGGTGAACATTTTGAAATAAATAGTAATAATAATGACGATGACGGTGACGATGACGATGACAATAAAGATGACGATGACAATGACGACGATGACGACGATGACGACGATGATGATGATGATGTTTATGATGAAGACATTTATTTACATGTATGTTTAATGCCGAGCATATCCAACTAGATCGTGCTCAAGGTGCTTACAAAAAACAGATTAATGACAAACATGACAAAATGCTTACAAGAAAACACAACATATCAAGGAGAAAATACAAGTATATACAAATTTCAGAAGTTTTAATTTTACAAATATGTACAAATTTCTGAAGTTCTTTGAACCTCTAGGCTCTACAAATAAATACAACTTCCAATGTCGAGAACCCCTCCCCTATGAAATCCTTTAACATATAGTCCTCAAAACAAAAGTGACTGACATTTGATCAAGTGTGAATTAAGATTATTATGCAGCTATCCTTTTTACTGTAGTGATGCGCATAATGTTGACGAATGACATTTGTGTGAATATATTTTATCACTTCCATAACATTTTACTATTTACTATAATTTAGAGTGTATTGAGTGACTTTACTAATAGTAATACTAGTTCAGTTCATGAGAAAAACAAAGTTAGTCAAGTTATCCAGGGTGTCCTCGAGCACTGCATAAGTTTGGACCTAGTCGGATATGACTCGGATTATCAAGAGCCAATGTCAGAGTTATTCAATGTCGAGCTGTCCTGGAACTGAAACATTTTCTCTTTTCAGCTCAGCGTCTTCCAGGCCATGCTACTGACTAGTACTTCACTGGCACTCTGACACTCATTTCATGAAACCGTCATAAGTACAAGTTCACCAAAATCCCATTGAAACGCATGTTATTGTTAAACTTAAATGAATATAAACCTAGAACCCTACTCGTATTTCGATCATGAATCGATGCCTTGTGCCTGTGGCTGTAGAGTCTAGACGAGAGCACACATAGGAGCATCACTATCCTGGCTGTGTAGTAAGCTGTGCTTTTTATTCTCAACATTTCAAACACCACTGTACAAAACTCAACTGATTTCACTCACAATCAGTACTTTAGTGACAATTGATGACACCTAAATAGCAGTAAAATACATTTTTTTAAACTTACTGATGAGTGATAATTTAAAAATTCAAACTGTAAGTCTAGTGTCAAACTTTGCTTACAGCTGCATCGACATGATTGTGTAGACTATAGAGTCTATGCGATATTGTGTGGTTTGTATATTTGTGTATAGGTCTAATAATACCTGCCTCACAGCAAGCATGCAGTGCTAGAGGTCAATACGCATTAGCATTGACTCTCTTAGACCGAAAGCTTCAGTCTTTATACCGTCGGTTGTTCCACTGAGACTACGTCTGGCTCCACTAGACCTCCGGTTATAGAGACTGAACGATCGCCTATGCCAGCCTATGTTGAAGATATCACGGCTAGATTTTAGCCGATAGGCCCCTCCCACAAACATGAACAAACTTGCCACGCCGTATTGTTATGCCCCCAAAATGTCATTTTACCTCGTGCATATCCAATTTTATATTAGGCCTAGGCTATAATACATCGGTTCCACTTACTAACTTGATTGAAATAATCCGTTTAATGGTCCCTTTTAAGGAAATTATGGGTCAAAATTGACATCCATGTTGAAAATCTTGCAAGCCGTGTTAAACTCTCGCTGCCGTCAATCTCATCCCTTCTAGTCTACGCCGAAGGCAAAAATGATTATGAAGGAAAAATTGTGATAACGCCATTACGAACGTGTAGATGGCGCACAGTTTTTCCTTCATAATCATTTTGCCTTCGGCGTAGACTAGAAGGGATGAGATTGACGGCAGCGAGAGTTTAACACGACTTGCAAGATTTTCAACATGGATGTCGATTTTGACCCATAATTTCCTTAAAAGGGACCATTAATTGATTAAACGGATTATTTCAATCAAGTTAGTAAGTGGAACCGATGTATTATAGCCTAGGCCTAATGTAAAATTGGATATGCACGAGGTAAAATGACATTTTGGGGGATTTTGGGGGCATAACAATACGGCCGTGGCAAGTTTGTTCATGTTTGTGGGAGGGGCCTAAGGCCTTTAAACGGCTAAAATCTAGCCGTGATATCTTCAACATGTAACATAGGCTAGTATAGGCGATCGTTCTGTCTCTATAACCGGCCGGAGGTCTAGTGGAGCCAGACGTAGTCTCAGTGGAACAACCAACGGTATAGAGACTGAAGCTTTCGGTCTATGACTCTCTATGCTTTGCTGGAGTGGACGAGAGGTCTAGTCTGGGGAACTCCGCGGTCTATATTACCAGTACCAGCAGATGGAGCCATGGAGGAGCACACCATCTCCAAAATGGCAAGACTCCAAGAAGAGAAAACAAGTGCATAAATGCCAGAAGTGCAAGGCAATCATCACTGATCATGTCAAAGACAATATTTACAATACAAAGTAGACTACAATTGACAATGTCAATCACAATCATCATCATTCATCATTCAATTTCAATACAAAATTACAATGTCAAATTTAATTTCAAAAATCAAAATCATGAATAAAACTCGTCTTACCAATGGTTCAGATTCTTGAGACCATTCATATGGAAAGAAAAGATCGTACAATATCGTTTCATCTTCTTCCTTTTTGGGGTTCTGAGTCACCTCATCGTCTGACGCCATTTCCCACTTACATCTGTTCGGTCGCAGAGAGAGTCAGGACAGTGAGTAGTCGCACGTCATCAACATAACAAGCGCAGCTTAAATACATAAAATCAAATACGTGGGCCTATAAAAGATGAAGATATCAGCCAATTTCCCACTTCAGAGATGTAGGGGCTATTTGTAAGTGTTACCGATTTAGTAGTAATTTAGCGATCTTAGATCAGATTGGTGGCTGTTTGAGGGGGGGGGGGGGCAAATCGGGTTGCCTATTTGTCATGAAAGTGAACTTTTGTGATTCATGGCGGGCTAATTTCACGATTGTTTTGTTTGCATGAATTAATAATGAAAAAAAAAAGGTTTGATTGCCACCCTGCACCCACTGATGGAGTTAGATCAGTTCCATGCAGCAACCACTTTGGTTGGAGTCTTGCTCTCTCTCTCTCCCTCTCTCCCCTCTCTCTCTCTCTCTCTCTCTCTCTCTCTCTCTCTCTCTCTCTCTCTCTCTCTCTCTCTCTCCAGGGACGGACCTAACTTTTTGCTAAGGGTGGGGGGGGGGGGGCAGGGTCAACCCAGTGGCAGATCCAGGATTTTCCAAAAGGGGGGCCCGAAACTTGAAAATCGCGCTCAGTGGGGGGGGGGGGGGGGCAGGGGGCAGGGGGTGGGGGCGGATCCAGCCGGCGGCAGGGAAGGGGGCCCAATTCGTGAGAAAATATTTAGCAACGCCGGCCGATAATTCACTCAGTGGGGGGGGGGGGGGGGGGGGGTAGTGAGCACTAAATTTGTTTTTTGGGGGGCCCTCAAAAATTTGGAAAAATCGCACCCCCCCCCCCCATCCCCTTGAGCGCCAGGGGAAGGGGCCCATCCCCGAAAAAAAAGGTAAAATGAACGTGTCTGTAATCGTTTTTTCCCCAGCGGAGGGGCCTACACCCTCCTGGATCCGCCACTGGGGGGGGGGGGGGGGTAGTGAGCACAAAAGGAAAATTTCATTTTGCCCCCCGAAAATTGAAAAAAGGCTGACCAATATTTTTTGGGGAGGGGGTAGGAAGCAGTACCAACAAAACAAAAACAAAAATGTTTTTAATACTATTTATTTTGGGGGCGCCCAAACTCCACCCCCTAGGTCCGCCCCTTCTCCCTCCCTCCCTCTCTCTCTCTCTCTCTCTCTCTCTCTCTCTCTCTCTCTCTATTTTTCTCTTTTCTCTCTCTCTATCTCTCTCTCCCTCCCTTCCTTAATTGCCGTCTCTATTTTTCTCTCTCAATGACTATATGCATGCAATCAAGGGTAGCTATTATAGTTACCCGGAGGTAATTAGCCCATATTTGTATCTGATTCTAATCTGATAAATAAATCAAAAGTACTAGTTATACTCTAAAGAGTTGAGGAATGCCTCTGACTGTTCTACTCATATAGGTTCTTCCCCGGCTCGAAGGCCTTGGCGACTAGCAGTTGCTCCGGCTAGGCCATGCCCCCTATTATATAATTTAAACAAATTATATGCAACTCGAATTTCGGACACTTTCGATTTGAAAATTTGTTTCACCATTACAATTAAATAATTGGTAAATTATGCCTAATACAGTTGTTATTTGATGGTATGCTTAACACATCGTTATGTTTGTGTCCTTAACAATACATGTCACAGATCGCTCCGCATCTCTCGATGTTTTCATGCCACATTGGATTTCAAGACCGTTCGCTGTTTTAGTGATAATTTATCAAATTGGCTACTTACTGCTTCCAGTATCATACTATATTTTCAGTTGGTAAAAATTGGCTGACCTCGAAAATAAAAATACTCTCTAATTTTATACAAGTTTTATTCAATTATTTTTTTGATTTATACACAACATTATATTTAAATAAACACTATTATTTAAAATATGTTAAATATAGAGTAATAAATCATTTTAAAATCTTTAAAATATATTTAAAATAAAATTAAGCTACAATCTTTTTAAAAGCCTGATATAAAATTACGATAGGGCCGGCCTAGATGGTCTAGGCCTACTGTATTTACATCACAAGCAGCAAAATCAGAGGATTCATTTGTTATTATCTTCCAATTTGTAGGCAGTTTATCGACAAACATGTGCACGATGTGCGTTCCCGGAATTCCCTGTCTTGTTGTTCCACTTGTTTTGTGGATATTTCACAGGTTTATCCAACCCTTTGGATACCCACTTTTGCCAGAAAGGGTCAAGTCATGGTTCAATTTTAACATGAGAATTTACGGAGTGACGCCTCCAAAAGGTGAAGTCACACAGAGTCAAAGTGAAAAGGTTAGTAAACACATCTTTTTGCAGTTTCAAGTTCAGTTTACATTATTTACAGGTCCAAGTTTTTCGTTAATGTGTGAACAATTGTTAACGAGACCTTTTTCCTTGGCTTAAGTTTGAAATTGAATACCATTTCTTCATTTATGATTGACTGGTACTGGTGAAACTGAAAATAAAGTTGAGACTGAGTGAGACTGAGAGTGAGACTGAGAGTGTTGTTATTATAAATATAATTTTAAATCAATACATGTATACTTACTTATTTTACTTACTTTAATACACGATGTTGTAGGTCTAAGCCCGGGGGGGGGGGGGGTACTCAGATTATAGTCGGACGGGGGTGTGCGGCTGAGACCTCCGAACCCATACCCACATCCAAGGGTCCTTTTGCTGAAATAGATACCCATGTCTAAGGATTTTTTGTGAAAAATGGACCCATGTCTAAGGATTTCAAACGTCAAATATTACATTTTTTAAGCTGTAATAATACACTCCAGCAAAGCATATGGAGAGTCAACGCTAATGCATATTGACCTTGCTTTAGCACTGCACTACGCGTTAATTAGGCAGCATTTAAATACATGAATAGTCAATAGGCCTACACTCATAACACAGAGATGCACACAATCATGCCGATGCGGCTGATCGGCAAGTTCGACAGTGGACTCACAATTTGATTTTTTAAATTATTCTTTCTAACATCGGAAAGTTGAAAAAATGTATTTTACTGCTATTTAGATCTTATCGATTGTCACCAAAATATAGATTTTTAGTGAAATTGGTTGAGTTTTATACAGTGGTGTTTGAAATGTTGAGAATCAATAGCACAGCTTTTAATACACAGCCAGGATAGTAATGCACCTATGTGTGTATTAATACAATGGCCAAAAATTTTGCAGTTTCTCGATAAAATTCTTTATTAGTAAACTGTACCATACAACATGTAGTTTACAAGTAGTTTACACACATAAAGATGAAAACACCATGCAACATAATTATACTGTGCTAGCACCTCTAGCATTAGACCGAAAGCTTCAGTCTCTCTAATCGTTGGTTGTTCCACTGAGACTACGTCTGGCTCCACTAGACCTCCGATTATAGAGACTGAAGTCTGGGGACCTCTTTCTGTGAGGCACTGTACGGAACAAATGGTTCGGTTCGACCGGACCGCGATGAATGAGATATGCAACGAGATTTTCACTCTTTACATCCTCATAACTGCTGCAATTATAACACAAATTAAAAATAACATATATATAGCTTATTTGACTTACGATAGCTTGCTCATTTAGATCCTAAATTAATGATTAATCCGAGAAAGTCTCGTCGTCAACATTATCCGTCTTGGTGTTAGTTGATGAACATTCATTTTTTTCTTTTCGAACGTCCAATAGCTACCGTAGCTACGTACGAGAAAGCCCAGCTTCAGCTTGACCAACAAACTCCCACGAAACGAGTGCTCTGATTGGCCATTTGGCTATGTTTTTGTAGGTTGACCCGGAAATATTTTGGCCGCCGGGTCATATAGCCCTATGTTCCGAGTGCATGAACGTTCGGAGATACAAATTGGATAATTCATATAGACTCTAACTTACTCTCATATCCCTGATACGTGCAAACATTACATTGCAGAGGCATATATAAACACATCACAGATCAAACTATCTTCACATCGACTTACTTTGCTAGGCCTAGGCGTATCATGATATCAGATGAGGAATAATAAGACATTTTTATGTTGTTTGTTACGGTCTCTGTTTACTGGATTGACTCAGTTTGTGATGCTCAGCCCAGCGGGCTGAAGACCGACAGGTGTTCCAGCTACAGCACTATTACAAATTCATGTATTTTCATAACGGTTAAACGAAACCGCCCGTATACTTTTAACAGTTAAACGTTTAGCACAAAAACCGTAATGACTCAGGCTTACCAGTGACTATCCAGTCTATTCTTAAATGAGTTGACTGAAGGAGATGAATCAAGTTGATAGTCTATGTCTATGAGTATGATACTCTTGCTAGACCCGAGATCTAGTTTAATAAAAATGTATTTGAAAGTAATCTACAGAGATCCGCTTTCGATTAATAAAGTGGTAAAATAAATGTGTAGATCTATTACTATATTATCCTGCAGTTTTTTAATCAGATTTTATGCTTTTGTGTTTCTCCTTCCAGGACCAGGAGGGTGAAAATGTTCAAGAATCCACGTCGACGACAAGAAATTGCTGCCCTTTCAAACCAACTGAAGTTCAAGCTACAACAGCCGGCGGTGGTGATAAAAAGACTGACTAGCACCAGTTCCTCGGGACAGCTGGTTTTGTTCCTAACCTCTGTGAACTTGATGTTGGATGAATCATAGAACATGCCTGAAGAATAAGGTCCTGTGGACTGCACTAACACATCACTAAGCTAACTTAGTGTTTAAAACTTGACTGTAAAGAGCTGCAATATTATTGAAAGAATTCAGGATGGATTTGTGAATTTTATTAAATTTTCTATCGATAGATATATAGTTACATGTAAGAAATGGAAAGGAATTTGAATTTATTGTCAGTTATTATACCCGAGTATGTTTTCTCATTGCTTTGATCTTTTAATTACTCATTCTGCAGGGCTTCAAACCACCTTTTTTGGAAGTTATATTGATTGAATAACGATAGTTCTTTTAAAGAAATCCAAACGGTATGAATGGAAACTGGAAAGTACCGGTAACAGATTCTTAGAATTTTAGATCTGCAGACCCTTGCACAGAGTATATATGCCAATAATCATCTATGACACTCACATGGATGGAAGTCTGTATTATTATTTTTTTTAATAACACTTTATTAATAAGAGGAAATTAGAGTCTTAAGATAATTTTGTTTCTTAATTGGTCATTATCATTGGTACATTCCAAGCAGTAACAATGAAATATTCTTTCAAAATCTTCAGTCGTTAACTCTTCATGAATCTTTTCACATGCATTATGAAATCTATCATCAAGAAAGGATTTGTATATAATCAAATCAACTCCATTCAGAATTTGTTTTTAAATTTTGTGAATAGTTTGTATGGCATAAATATTTTATTATGCTCTATTCCTTAGTACAGGTATGTCTTTAAATCACTTAATCATTTCCCCACTCATTACTTTCTCTATTCTCTTTGTCTGAATAATATTGGAAGTCCTTTTTTATAGGTCCATCTTTTAAAAAAAAATTCTTTTGTATGTCTTCAGATGGTTTACAATCGTCTATATCTTAAAACTCATCATTCTTATTTGTTCTCTCTGACCCCTCTGTTCTGTGTGAGTCCCAACACTTCTCTTTCTCTTATTTTGTATGTCTGTGACTATTTGTATTTGTCATTACTGTTGTTATCTATCACAAATTGCTGTTGATATGCTCATACTCACATGTACCTTTTAGATTAAGAGGTGTGTTACATTATGAAATATTTTTATTTTCTTTCTTTTCTTCAAAATATTTCTCATACAGGGTGAATATCACACCTTCCTTTATCTGTTTAGATCTGAAATAACATCCTTTTACAAATCAAAAAAAGATCCAAAATTTAAGACTATATTTTTAAAGACCTTTTGAAGATGGAGCTTTCTTTTAATAATTTACAAGATCATCTGACTTTAAAAATGTATGACTTTTTTTAGAAATGGACATTTGGGGATAACACATTTGATAAATAGATACTGGTTATTGTCATTGAAGTAAATGCTCTCTTCATTTTGTAATAGTACAATAATATGAACATTTACTTTTATGTTTTGCTTGAAAAAAAAAAAAAACACAAAGTGAGTTGACCTAAAAGGGAATTATCATACCATGATTAGCGTCATCAATGTGCCTTGTATATTACAAGCAAATTTCGGCATATCAATATTATGATTCCTATATGTACAAGTAGGCCTACAAGAAAATTGTAGTTTACATCAGTGTAAAGGCAAGTTGAAGAATTTTAAAGTTTCATTTCATAATCATCTTATTTGTACGAGAAGCCTTCTTACAGTTTTGGTTGAAAACTTATACAATAATATTCCAGCAGCAGGATAAATATGTTATAGATAAATATAAACGCATTTCATTCCTATATCATTCAAAAATAAAATAAATAGTCCATCAAAATTTGGTGTTTGATTAAAGATGTGGGATAGGAAATTTGGATTGTCCTTATGTTTCATTTTATAGGTGACAACTATTTATGGAAGAAATTTTGCTTAAAGTTAGCACCTGTATCATAATTATTTATAATTATTGTAATCATTTGCAACAAAGAGCATGTTCCCTTAGTATTCAATGATACATGTATGTTTTACTCTAGGTTAGCTGCGGATGATTTTAAGGTTGTCAGGAGGAGACAAATTTTTACCTATCATTGAGAAAAAGAAAAGTGGTGTACCGGTACATGTAATTAGAATTCTTGATGTGATACAACTAGGTAAATTTATCAATTTTACTGAAAATATGTATATTTATACCTATCCATATATATATGTTGGTGTTGTCATGGAATGTGCTGGTTGAATAAAAAGTATTTATCTTTATCAAAATAAGTTTATAAGTTGTGAATATTTATGTCACAAATCCAAGTATGGTTGTTATTGAATGGCTCCCCATCCTACTTTTGTAGATTAGATTTATATGATCAAAAGTACTTCACATGGCAAGTTTGTGATTACAAATTAAGTTCAGCATCAGCATCATGTGGGGGATACATATAAGAAGTTTTGGAGACAGACAAAAGATTGTATCCACATGATAATGTCCTTAACATAATATTGTCAAACCGTGCAAATTGTTCCCATGACCTCATGGCATAGAAGTGCATCATATGACATGGTTTTAGATCACAATCTCTTTCATGTGATAAACTGTATATGTGATTCACAGGCTGCCAGTGATGACCCGTTTGCTTGCCTGAGGCATGATGGACATATCGAGTATCGACACCATGTACTTTTATGTAATTTAAGTATGATTTTATAGAGGTGTTAACATATGCAAGGTTAATTCAACTAGGTTTCTTGAAAGAAAATTGAATAAACTGGCATATTTTTTAACACATTTAATATTATGTTTCATAGAACTTTTGATAAGGTCTATGTGGAAAATGTTTTATACCAATATCACATTGTATCTAACAGGTGATTACTACTGTAGTATATTCTGAATTAATATGTAGGACGGATACTGACATCAAAAGAAAACACGAAGTTCACCACCAGGGTCACAGATACTCACACGTGACAGTATTTCAGACAAAAGCAATTGTGACAGTTCTACCACCAGGAAAGGAGGAAGGAAGTTGACAGAACACCGATGTGAAGAAGAAAAAAAAGAGTGATTAGACTTCATGTGATTTGTGTTGTCCTTACACAATTGACGGGGTTATCTGCATGTGACCCACTGGTTCACCTGATATTCTCTCGTTTTTATGCCTCCGTTACGAAGTAGCCGGAGGCATTATGTTTTCGGGTTGTCCGTCCGTCCGTACGTCCCGTTCTCGTGATCGCGTTATCTGAAGAACCGATTGATGGATTCCTGCCAAACTTTGGTCATGTATGTATCTTGTAGAGCCGATGAACTGATTAGATTTTGGGGTCATGAGGTCAAAGGTCAAAGTTCATGCGGCTCATTATGTATGCAAAAAAAAATTGTGATCGCGTTATCTGAAGAACCGATTGATGGATTCCTGCCAAACTTTGGTCATGTATGTATCTTGCAGAGCTGATGAACTGATTAGATTTTGGGGTCACGAGGTCAAAGGTCACAGCGCACATTACGTATGCAAAAACAGCTCATGATCGCGTTATCTGAAGAACCGATTGATGGATTCCTGCCAAACTTAGGTCATGTATGTTACTTGCAGAGCCGATGAACTGATTAGATTTTGGGGTCATGAGGTCAAGGTCAAAGGTCATGCAGCTCATTATGTATGCCAAAAATAGCTTGTGAACGCATTCTCATTAGAACTGACAGATGGATTACTATTTAACTCAGGACATCTTGCAGAGCCAATGAACTGAGTAGATCTTAGGGTCATGAGGTCAAAGATCAAAGGGTCATATATGTATATGAGAAATTGCTTGTAATCACGATATTCTGAGAACCTGTTAATGGATTACAATGAAACCTGAATTTGAAAAATTTCTTCCGTTTTGGTTTGTAAACTTGCTCTATGAAGGAGGCATCATTTTCGACTGCGCGCAGTCGAAGTTCCATCTAGTTTGTTGTTGCATATTGTAAGTCATAACCATCAAGTATTTTCTTTATACTCTTAGTATAAATATCCACTCACAGACTCTCTCTCTCTCTCTCTCTCCAACCATTCTATCTCACCCCAGTTTCTATTGTTCTTCTTCTTTGCTCTCCCCCCCCCCAAAAAAAAAAAATCAGTCTCTCTGTGTCTGTCTGTCTCTCTCTCTCTCTCTCTCTCCCTCTCACACTCTCTCCCTCTCACACTCTCTCTTTCTCCAACCATTCTATCCCACCACCAGTTTATTTTGTTCATCCTACATGTACTTGCTCGCTCTCTCTCTCTCTCTCTCTCTCTCTTTCATTCTGTGTTTATGTTTCACTTGCTATATAGAAAACAGTACACCGTTAATGAGAAAAAACTCTTTACAAAATAGCTGCGGAACAATTAATTGACAATGAATCATGGCACTGTTTATTCAGATATCACATAGAATGCATTTAGTAATAGTAATGAAGTCTGAGATAAACAAAGTACATGTACAGTTTAATACCCAGGGTGAGTACACACACAGGTACACATGAATTGTAATACATCTATGGTATACATGTAAGCTAAAGGAGAGATAGAAAAGGATAAATTCTCTCCTCTAATAAACTAAGATTATGATTTGAAATCGATTGAATTCATTTACAAAGTTCTGTACGTCTGCAGCCAAGCTATGTCAATTTAATTTGTGCACAGCAAATTGAAGTAATACAGATTTAGCAAAATATTTTTTTCATTATGAAAACTGCAGCTTTTTAACTTTGTAATTTGAACCTGCAGGGTAAATAAACAACTTTAACTCTGTGTACTCAATGTGAATGACTAGTGCACAGCACAAAATTACAAACTATTTTTGAGTATAAAAACATTGTCATTTTTGTTAAAATCTTGTAAAACATTGCATACTATTTGCAGTGTCAAAAATACTTTCCTGATTGCAAGTTTGTTTAGGATATGGTGGTGTATAAGTGCAATTTTCCCACTGTGAAATGTAAGTATTTTACTGGGTTTTTTTTTAAGAGCTCCTCTTCAATTTACCAGAGCAAATTTAGAGCTTCCGAGAGCTAAATCAATCACCATTCCTGTGTAATTTTTTTCTTTCTTCTTCTTCGCTATAAGTACAGGCCACCGTCGGGTGTATTCTCGTACTGATTGTAGGTGCTGTGCAGGTGTATATACACATGTAGTGTCTCTTTTATTGAGACACTACATGTGTATATACACCTGCACAATGAGCTATGTGCAGTTAAAAAGACATCTGTAGCTTAACGGAGCTGGATCTTGAGTAGACCGAAAGCTTCAGTCTCTATAATCGTCGGTTGTTCCACTGAGACTACGTCTGGCTCCACTAGACCTCCGGTTATAGAGACTGAACGACTGCCTATGCCAGCCTGTGTTGAACTTATTCCGCTAGATTTTAGCCGCTAGGCCCCTCCCACAAACTTGCCACGGCCGTATTGTTATGCCCCCAAAATCCCCCAAAATGTCATTTTACCTCGTTCATTTCCAATTTTAAATTAGGCCTAGACTATAATACATCGGTTCCACTTACTAACTTGATTGATATAATCCGTTTAATGGTCCCTTTTAAGGAAATTATCGGTCAAAATCGACATCCATGTTGAAAATCTTGCAAGCCGTGTTAAACTCTCGCTGCCGTCAATCTCATCCCTTCTAGTCTACGCCGAAGGCAAAATGATTATGAAGGAAAAACTGTGATAACGCCATTACGAACGTGTAGATGGCGCACAGTTTTTCCTTCATAATCATTTTGCCTTCGGCGTAGACTAGAAGGGATGAGATTGACGGCAGCGAGAGTTTAACACGGCTTGCAAGATTTTCAACATGGATGTCGATTTTGACCGATAATTTCCTTAAAAGGGACCATTAATTGATTAAACGGATTATATCAATCAAGTTAGTAAGTGGTACCGATGTATTATAGCCTAGGCCTAATTTAAAATTGGAAATGAACGAGGTAAAATTACATTTTGGGGGATTTTGGGGGCATAACAATACGGCCGTGGCAAGTTTGTGGGAGGGGCCTAGCGGCTAAAATCTAGCGGAATAAGTTCAACACAGGCTGGCATAGGCAGTCGTTCAGTCTCTATAACCGGAGGTCTAGTGGAGCCAGACGTAGTCTCAGTGGAACAACCGACGATTATAGAGACTGAAGCTTTCGGTCTAGATCTTGAGTACCTCTCTCTTTTTGCTGGTTCTATGTCACACAGTGATTGTAGATTTTAGGCCTTAGATTAAAACAACACAAAAACAAAATTAAAGGGAAGCATCATTACTTTAATGAAGAGAAACATGAAAAACACTCAAAACACTCAAACACTGCATTAGTAACCCTAGTTCATCATATTCAATTTGATTTGGTAAAACCTGAGAAGTCAAGTTCCTTATTAATACAAATTACATTTCTTTGAAACATAATAACACATTTAATTGTACATATCTCCATGTACTGGTAATTAACACAATTATCATCTCTTTTTGACACAACTGACATGGATTAGATATTGCACAGCAGAGAAAGAGTTTTATTTCCTTATATGATCCTCGAGGTTGATTAGATTTTCACTATTAGTTGAAACACAGCTACATGTATTAAAGCCTTGATTGCAATTTGCCTTCATCCATTATGTACATCATTATAAAGCAGCAGTCTAAACCTGCTACCACATTATATCAGTACCAGCAGATGGAGGAGCACACCATCTCCAAAATGGCAAGACTCCAAGAAGAGAAAACAAGTGCATAAATGCCAGAAGTGTAAGGCAATCATCACTGATCATGTCAAAGACAATATTTACAATACAAAGTACAATTGACAACGTCAATCAAAATCATCATCATTCATCATTCATAGGTCTATAGATCTAGATCTAGAGTAAAGTACCCGGTAATCGGTCAGCTCCGGTTTTCGGCCAATTGGTTGGATACATGGTAAAATCACTTTAAAATACATCGCATAATAGCATAACACATATCCCACACATACCATACCATGCCAGTGTCACTGAAGAACCACATTTGCAATGAAAAATATATCCTAAAATATCACATTTTAGCGATGTAATCGGCGGTCCCGCTACCCAAATCTGAAAAATCGAGTTTCTTACGCGTGTATGTAAGAAATATGGGTACCATAAAATGAGCTTTATTTCAAGTATTTTTCAGATATAGAGCCCGATTTTGTGCTGGTCGCAAGCTCAAAAGTATCTCATCGCATGTATTAAATCAATGCAGCCGCACACCGCGACGCACACACGATATGTCCGTCTAATTCAGATTCCAACTTCCGATCACCGCTGTGCCTGTATTCGGTCAGGCGAGCACCCGGGAGCTCCGGCGTGGGATACCTGCTCCGCCCGCGTGTGCTATACATCAGCGCAGAAACGCACGGCGCGCGCGAGCGCTTCCGATTGACTTTGTACATGCGGCCGTAAACTGAAACGCTCGGCCGATAACCGGCTCCAAAACAGTGAAAATTGAAATGAATATTGTCATGGCAATTCGTGATTTTTTTTGGGGATTCTTTTTTTGTTTAAATAATAATAATATTTGCTTCATGATTTGAACAAGAAATGATAATAAATAGGAAGTAAAGAGTCCAATAAATAGGATTTTGTCTTAAGTGGCCGAAAACCGGGTACTTTACTCTAGACCTAAAAAAAAATCTAGACTAGGTTTAACTTAGAGGTCTAAGTAACGTTACAATGACAATGTCAATTTCAAAAATCAAAATCATGAATATAAAACTCGTCTTACCAATGGTTCAGATTCTTGAGACCATTCATATGGAAAGAAAAGATCGTATAATATTAAATACATAAAATCAAATAGGGTGAAGCTTTTCTTCACACACCTAATCGGAGATGAAGGTAGCCCATCCAATGTGTAAAAATTGCCAATTTGATAAGTGTAAGGATCGCATTGTTTACGTGGGCCTATGAAAGATGAAGATATCAGCCAATTTCCCAATTCAGGGATTTTAGGGCTATTTGTAAGTGTTGCTGATTTAGTAGTAATTTAGCGATCTTAGATCAGATTGGTGGCTGTTTGGGGGGGGGGGGGGGGCAAATCGGTTTGCCTACTTGTCATGAAAGTGAACTTTTCTGATCCATGGCGAGCTAATTTCACGATTGTTTTGTTTGCATGAATTAATAATGAAAAAAAAAGGTTTGATTGCCACCACCCACTGATGGATTTAGATCAGTGCCATGCAGCTACCACTTTGGTTGGAGTCTTGCTCTCTCTCTCTCTCTCTCTCTCTCTCTTTCTCTCTCTCCAGGGACGGACCTAGCTTTTTGCTAAGGGGGGGGGGGGGGGGTTGACCCAGTGGCGGATCCAGGATTTTCCAAAAGGGGGGCCCGAAACTTAAAAATCCCGCTCAGTGGGGGGGGGGGGGGGGGGCAGGGGCGCAGGGGGTAGGGGCGGATCCAGCCGGCGGCAGGGAAGGGGGCCCAATTCGTGAGAAAATATTTAGCAACGAAATAGCTGGCCGATAATTCATTCAGTGGGGGGGGGGGGGGTAGTGAGCACTAATTTTGTTTTTTGGGGGCCCTCAAAAATTTGGAAAAATCCCACCCCCCCCCCCCCCTGAGAGCCGGGGGAGACGGCCCATCTCCAATGAACGTGTTTGTAATCGTTTTTTCCTCAGCGGAGGGACCTCCCCCCCTCCTGGATCCGCCACTAGGGGGGGGGGGGTAGTGAGCACAAAAGGAAAATTTCATTTTGCCCCCCGAAATTTAAAAAAAGGCTGACCAATATTTTTTGGGGAGGGGGTAGGAAGCAGTGCCAACAAAACAAAAACAGAAATGTTTTCAATACTATTTATTTGGGGGGCGCCCAAACTCCACCCACTAGGTCCGCCCCTTCTCCCTCCCTCCCTCCCTCTCTCTCTCTCTCTCCCTCTCTCTCTATATCTCTCTCCCTCCCTTCCTTAATTGCCGTCTCTATTTTTCTCTCTCAATCATTACAACAAGTTAATACGCGTCAGGGGACAAAACCTAATGAGGTATGACGTATTTGTTTTCATTTACATACAGCCAATCAGAGCCCATTGGTGGTACTGATTAATGAATATTCATATAACTATCACGAGTTGACCTTATTCGCATACGCGCAATGTAAAACAGATTAAACCAATTAGCGCGTAGTGTGCACATTGCATACGCGCGCGTCAGTCGTTGAGCCGTTGGGAGGTCATAAGGAATGAATATTTATGAAGTGATCACGCGCTAACCTTATGCGACATCATACTCTAACGATAGTTATCCAATCAGCATCGCGTATTACAATTGTTGCACGCGCATGCTATTGTGTGTACACCTATGGCATGGGCAAAATGGCCTTGCTAGCTAGTCGGATTGACAAGGTTTATGAATATTGACAAGGTACCTATGGCGAATTTTTGCAAATTGCCACGAAATTTCTCATAAATATGCATAAGGATCTGTTGCAACTACCTATGTAGGTTTTTTTATGAATGAACAACGTGTCGACAGTGAAACGCCCCGCCAAAGTTGGAAATCCGGTTGGAAATATTCCACCTCGCGTCAATGTGAAAACGCGTGTTGTGGCAGGCTAATTGCCCTAGAAAGTGCCCTGTAAGCTATTTTTCAACTCGAAAGGTACCTATGTAAAATTTTCACAAAAGTAGACAAATTTGGCATCTACAGCAAGTCTTATACCTGAATTTTCATTAAAATTGGGTTCTTTTGTACATCAAGATATATTCGGGGAGATATGAGCTCGTAAAATGGACAGTGTGTGTAAAAGCCCATACCTGATTGTGCGCCCTTTTGTGGTGCGTTTTGAATACGCTTGGCCTCTATGGAGATGTCCCTCAACTTATTGTAATGTATAGGACTGTATGCATGCAATCAAGGCTAGCTATTATAGTTACCCGGAGGTAATTAGCCCATATTTGTATCTGTTTCTAATCTGATAAATAAATCAAAAGTACTAGTTATACTCTAAAGAGTTGAGGAATGTCGAAGGCCTTGGCGACCAGCAGTTGCTCCGGCTAGGCCATGCCCCCTATAATATATAATTTAAACAAATTATATGCAACTCGAATTTCGGACACTTTCGATTTGAAAATTTGTTTCACCATTACAATTAAATAATTGGTAAATTATGCCTAATACAGTTGTTATTTGATGGTATGCTTAACACATCGTTATGTTTAATACATGTCACAGATCGCTCCGCATCTCTCGATGTTTTCATGCCACATTGGATTTCAAGACCGTTCGCTGTTTTAGTGATAATTTATCAAATTGGCTACTTACTGCTCCCAGTATTATACTATATTTTCAGTTGGTAAAAATTGGCTGACCTCGAAAATAAAAATACTCTCTAATTTTTATACAAGTTTTATTCAATTATTTTTTTGATTTATACACAACATTATATTTAAATAAACACTATTATTTAAAATATGTTAAATATAGAGTAATAAATCATTTTAAAATCTTTAAAATATATTTAAAATAAAATTAAGCTACAATCTTTTTAAAAGCCTGATATAAAATTACGATACTGTATTTACATCACAAGCAGCAAAATCAGAGGATTCATTTGTTATTATCTTCCAACTTGTAGGCAGTTTATCGACAAACATGGTGTGCGTTCCCTGTCTTGTTGTTCCACTTGTTTTGTGGATATTTCACAGGTTTATCCAACCCTTTGTATACCCACTTTTGCCAGAAAGGGTCAAGTCATGGTTCAATTTTAACATGAGAATTTACGGAGTGACGCCTCCAAAAGGTGAAGTCACACAGAGTCAAAGTGAAAAGGTTAGTAAACACATCTTTTTGCAGTTTCAAGTTCAGTTTACATTATTTACAGGTCCAAGTTTTTCGTTAATGTGTGAACAATTGTTAACGAGACCTTTTTCCTTGGCTTAATTAAGTTTGAATACCATTTCTTCATTTATGATTGACTGGTGAAACTGAAAATAAAGTTGAGACTGAGTGAGACTGAGAGTGAGACTGAGTGAGAGTGTTGTTAATTTAAATCAATACATGTATACTTACTTACTTTACTTACTTTAATACACGATGTTGTAGGTCTAAGCCCCGGGGGGGGGGGGGGGGGGTACTCAGATTATAGTCGGACGGGGGTAGCCTTAAGGGCTCTCTCGAAATGTTTTTTTAATGATATTATTCGAGAGAGCCTTAAAGTAAAAACGGCTCCCATACCCCTGCACGGAGAGGCATGTAAACAAAACTCAAAAGTTGAGACTGAGTGAGACTGAGAGTGAGACTCCAAAATCACAATTCACGATGTCTACACAATGGTGATGACCTCTGACTGGCACTTCGTAAATGTGCTGCTTCCGTATAATGCGCTGAATAACACTCATACAGCGCATTATACGGAAGCAGCACAATTTACCCACAATTACGGAAGTGCCAGTCAGAGGTCATCACCATTGTGTAGACATCGTGAATTCACACGGTACACGTGAAAAGGTAGCTGAGCTGTATCGGTCTGGTAAGAAAATTGCTCTTATTTTGTTATTTTTAGATCCGATTTTGAAATTAAAGCGGTAATTAAGACCAAAACTACGACAAAATTTATCAAAGCCACTGTCCAATATTGGTCGGGTGCGCGAAAGTGTGATTTTGGACCACTTTTGAGTTTTGTTTACATGCCTCTC